AGTGCACAGCAGGACCCCAACCCAGGGTGGTTTTTTTCCGGTTTTTTTTTCCTTAGTGGCGGGGGTAGTCCGGCCCATGTTTTTTTCCTTTTTTTCCCACAGAAGACCGGGGAGTGGGGTTTCTTCCCCTTCCCCATGGGGTGGGGGTTAACTTTTTGTGAAAATAGGTGCCAATGGGGTTTTTGGGGGTATTGTGTTGTTGTATTTTCCCTTCGGACAGCTTTGGAAGATATTGGGACACACTCATTTTTGTGGGAGATAAACCCTTCTTGGCCCGGCAGGGATCCCAACACAAAAACCTTCCCGGGTTCAAAAAGTTCCTTTTCACCCATGAAGGGGGACCAGATTGCCAGGGGAAAGGGATTGTCCCCTCCTTATGGAACCCCGGCCCCGTTTGTTTTTTTGGGGGTTTGTGGGGGTTGTGTTTCCAAACACGGGGGGCCCAGGAAAATTAAAAAGGGTTCGGGGGGGGGGGGGGGGGGCGTAGCGGCGACACAATATGTACAACACAAGCAATCAATGCAAACACAACAATCGTAGTCTAGATAGTTAAGCTGCAGTTGTTACAATTTCTATTCCCAATGTCCCAGCAGCAGCAGGGAACTTGGCAGGGTTATTACAGTAGAGGAATTGCGGGATACTGGTGGGGAAAATAAAGTGTTTGGGCATCGTTCGTGGTGTACTGGTTTTGCACTAGACGGTGCTCTCGGGTTCACAGCGAAGTCTGTCCGCCAGTTCAATTTGTACAGCAGTACATAGACTATGCGTCAGCAGTAGTATGCGTAGACTGATACATAGATTAGACTCCAGTAGTTTGTTGGCTTTCAGTGAAGCACACAGAAAGAAGACAGAGGGGCACGCCACCATAGTTAGAGGAACAAAAGCTCCAGCAGACTTACACTGTATAGTATTAGTCTATCTAGACAACAATAAATGGATGGGTAGACCATGCTCGAAGCATGCCAGGCAACCGGCAACACCACGTTATTTTTTTTCGACGACCGGGGTTGCCCCCCGAAACGAGTGAAGGTTCGCGGACTGTAGATAGCCAACATCTCGACTATGTCTTACGGGGGTACGAGAAATAGATGTGTCAAGACCCTCACGAAGCTGCCTTCAGCTACAGAGGCCATGCAGGCGGAGCGTGCTATTTGAAACGCATGTCGATGTGAGGGCAAGTTGTGGCCGTCGACAATGTACACCATGTGCAGCGTCGTTTCTGGTTGTGCCTGTGCCTCTGGATACGACAACCAACACCCATTGATATTGACTACCCGAGCGTCTCTGCTCATGCTGGCAGAGAAAGCCGAGGTTTCCGAGCGGTCGTAACGCTGACCCTGTCCATCAGGGGGGGGGGAATAGACCACTTTCCCTGTTTGCTGCGCCAGATATATCGAACACATCCCGCAAGTCTTGGTTAGTGACCGTTCGACAATGAATAAATGTTGTATAGAACGACTCATTGCTGACGTGTTCGCACGCACACACCCCTGTGGGATAAGCAACTGAGAGGTGTCGAGCACGCGTTACACTAGCATTGATTACTCCACGCGATGGCGGAGGGGCTCTCAAAGGGATACCCCCAATAATCGGTAGGGGTAAAAGGCATACACGCCCACTGACGGACAACAAACAAGAACGAAACACGCGCACACATATGACGGGGCACGCCTGTCACCCCACCCGAAAACATCAAGCAACCGGCAGCCTGCTAAACTGCATCAAACGATTCCAAATCGAAACAAGCATACAAAGCTACTTCACGAGCATGACTTCATCCCAGTGACGGCCAGCTGGCCGCCACACAAAACTCAATAAAATCGAAACGGACCAACCAAACGGCGCACCTAGCTCCAAGCTTGTGCATCCATCAACCCGACGGCGTTACAATCATGACCAATGCGTCCTGTTTTTCAACAAGGTAAACTACTGTTCTCCCTTCCCCAAGCGTGTGCATCCATCACGCCGGGGGCGTTAACACCACAACCATGCTTTCATCAAGGTAAATTACTGTTCTCCCTACCCCCTCCGCCATTCGTCTTTCCAGGTTAAGATCTCTCTTCCCCTTACGCCAGGCCACCCATCCCCGGAAAACGTTCTACCGCGAAGGGGCCGACGACGATATCGCAAGCTTCCTCCTTTTTGGCGTTGTCGCCTTCCCTCGGTCTCTGTAGCCTGCTGACCTGAGAGGGTGCACCAGCGACAGGGGTACGCGAGAATGCCGTCAAAACGATAAGTGCTAACGGGCAAGGAGGTGACCAGAGGGGGGTGCTCCCTTCGTGGTTGACATCAAGTCATGTACGACGTTGATCGCTCCAAACATCTGCGGATAGAAGCGAATATCCGATTGGATATGTCTCGGGAATCAACTAGAATGTGAAAACAATCCAGGCTCACAAGCGTCGAGTGGGCAAAGGGTTGATGTCGACGAGAGAAAAAATATGTTTCCCCTTGGCGGGCTCCATCCAAATGCAAGTTGGTCTCCATGCCGTACGTTGACATAGCGGCGACAAGACTCGCAAATCGACGCAAAGGGGCAAAATTAAAATCGTACGGGAACACGAAGTTTCGCGTGCATCTCCACGTAGTCTAGTCCACTCGTTTGCAAAGCCCCACTTGATTCTCGAAGATCCATTTCCATTCTACAGTACAAGTAAAAAACTACCTCAAGATCCGACGATACGTCAAAATTCAATAGTCTTTCCACGCTACGTTGAAAAATACGAAGGGGGTAACGATACCATAGCCCATCTCGGATAAACACCTGAAGTTGACCATGTCCGGCTCTGCGTGGCGCAGGCAAAACGAAGGGCGAGGGTCCCCCTCCCGCCCGCAACGAGGTTGCGCCGTACATCCCACAGCGGTGCACCTGCAGATGTGAAAGAAGTGGATGCGGCTGGAGGTTGGGCGCTGCTAGGACCAGGCAAGGGACAAAAGCCACTTGACACCCTTACGCACTACGACCTCCCTTGAAGCCTAAACGTTTCCAAGGCAACATTCTTGTTGCAACGACATACAAACAAGGCTGGACCGAACCCTGTTCAGAACGTGTCTTGATTGTCCGAGTGCTAGTATTTGGTGGCAGATTAACGGGGTTCGGGAGGGGGGGTGGAAGGTGCAAACAGAAAACCAAACGAAGCACGTCAGACTAGGACTTCAAGCGAACGCGAAAACAGATACTCTGGGAGTTGAGAACAAGAACAAAAAACATGTATATTGGGTACCCCGTTGTCAGTGACGTGGCGCGGCCCCCGACGGGCACGTAAACAGAGAAGGAGCGCGCGTATCCCCCTGCCTGCCATACCAACGCCTAACAAAAGGGGGAAAACTACAACCGAAGCGACGCGCCACACCCAAGTTCAAGCGCCACAGACCGAGCCAAATCCGGAAAGCAGTCCGCACAGACCTCGGGTTCCGGACATCCGTCATCCCCGGCTTCCGGTGCAGAGCGCAGAACTTCGGCTGCTGCCCCCCTCCCTCCCGCCCGAAGTACGGCTGCACGGAGCAGCCGCCGGGGTGCCGGCACCGGCTAGCGGTCACGTTCGTCGCTCCCGCCGGAGCGTGCGCGGCGCAGTACCTCGCTGGTCCCGGGTGGGCCGCCGCTGTTGCTGCCGCCCCCCCCGCTGTTGTTTCTGTGTTGTCCTCGGAGGGTTGCGACTTGGTCGTTGCAACGGCACCGCTTTTCGAGGGAAACCGCGTGCAACCCGGGTGTAGACACGTCTTGTGCTTTGTGTCCACCATGCCGTCCTCTTTGTGCTCCTGCGGGGGGTGAGGAAGGGAGAGGGTTCGTGTGGGTATCGACGAGAGCGTGGCGGTCGTGTAGCAAGGAAGGCGGGTGTCGACAGCAGAGCCTTTACAGCATATGCAGCAGTTGTTGTTGTTATGTTCACAGTAAACACTGTTCCGATCTCTCCACCCAGTTCAAGCGGCAATAGCAACAAGATATTACATAGATGGTGTACCACCAAGAGCGTGAACCTCAGCATCGAAAATAGTACTTCCAACCGTCAAGAGTAGGAGGTGTCTGAAGTACCTTGCAGAAAAGAGCTCGACCTCCTCTTTCTCTGGCCCAGCTCGGCTGCCTTCGGCATCCTTTCTTCGCACAGCGTTTGTTGAGCACATCCACCATCCCGTCAAGCTGCAGCACCCGTCGAAAGCGTCGCCAAGGAAATGAGAGGAGGGTCACAACGGGTCAACGGGTCATCACAAGAGATCAACGAAAGGGGGGGTGAAGTGTAAGCAATGGTCTACCACGTCTTACTATGACGTATCTTGTTGTTCTTGACCAACCCAGCCAGCAATGTGAACCAACGTAGGCTAACAACCGCACCTTCCCCGTATCTTGTTGCTGGCGTTTCTGGCGAGGTTTAGCGTAGGGGTGGAGCACACACGAGTGAAACTGATTCCTCAGCCAGACACCCAGTCTGCCTTCTCCAGGGCTACAGACTTGGCAATACGCCTACTCCTTCACAATACCGCGGGGAGTCATTACTGTGATACAAACACGAGCAAACAACAACGCACCTTGTGCTTGCAACAGAACCTCGCCCGCCCGCCGTCCGCGCCGTAGTGCGGCCTCGTCGTACACGCATCCGCTTCGCAGGCTGGCGCGTAAACGTTGACCTCCCCCTCTTCCTTGTGGGCCTTGCATGCCCTTGGGACTCTGGAGCCCGGCTGTGCGAACCAAGGACGCCCAGTGCAGCCCTCGAACCGGCACCGAGCACCTACCTTCCGACATCTGTTTGATCAGACGTCCGAAAAGAACCAAGTTGGGGTTGTTTGCTTAGGCCGTGCAAGATAGATAAGTCCAGTGAGCTACGTAGTCGCACCGGGGGTGGGACATGTCTCGAGCAACCCATTTCGAGAGGAATGGGTGCTACGAGTTTGCGTGTGCGCACACGGTGTTCAGCACAATAAACAGTCAAAGTCATGATGCACGTACATCGTAGCATCACACGAAATGCTTATTTTTAAGGGACACAACCCTCGTGGTACTGTAGATCTTCGCTGGTATGTTTGATCGACCAACAACGGAAGAGGTAAACCACACTTCAACCGTTCCTCGAGCGACTCTTACAAGCAAGCGAGATCTCTCTCCTCTTCGTATCATACCTCGGTTTGGAGGGCGCCGTCTTCGCGTTTGCGACTGCCATTCTCCCCATGCCCTTGAGGAAACCGCTTTTTACGGGGAAAGGTGGTGGCTCTGGCTGCTGCTGCTGGATCTGCGGTTGGAGAGGTGATGTCCCGGTTGTCAACTCTTTCCTGGCCATGATATCCTCCGCAAGAAATTAGCCTCTTCTTCGCATCTCTCTCTCTGTGGGAGTTGAAGCACAGCAGCACAAGCAGTAGGCACTGAAGGATGGATCCGGCAGCCGTGAAGTACAGGGCATGGACGGCTGCCTTCGGCGTTGGTTTTTTTCGCAGAGAACGGGGCAAGAGACGGAGAGAGCGGCGTGTCACAACGCGCATCGTCCATGTCGCGGTATGCCTGTATCAGCGCCGGAGCCCCCTTCTCCGGAGATCACAGAGATGCGGCCTAATTGTCCTCCATGAGCACAGCTCGGAGCTCTAGGAGCTAGGACAACACCATACGCCCCCTCTCTGCCACCGCACCCTCGCTCCACGAAGTCTCCCACCGCGCACTGTAGCCCCCGATATATATCTCTGAGTGGTGGTGGCAGCGGCGGTGGCGGTGGTGAAGGCGGGTGATTGCGCTGGACCGCCTATCTCGCAGCCGTTTGCTCTTCAACTGCTCCAAGGCCTCTCCGACAACGGCAGCAATGTTTTTGAGAGCGATCCGAGCTGCGGAGCCGACGTTGAAGGAGCTGTCGCGGAGAGTCTTCTCTCCTTGGAAGGGGAACCATGTCGCCTGTGTAAGTGTTATGTGCCGATTCTGCTGACTGTACTCACGTTTAGGCTTGGCGCTCATGTTGTGATCGAAATCACACCATGTTGAACTCAACTTGCAGTTCGTGTGCAGTTCGTCAAAACATGACACGAATCCACAGCAACCTACTTGCTTGTAGTCGTGAGCGTATCAACGATGTGTGCCGATGGACTGCCTCTATCTCAACAAGGCATTACTCTTGAGGCACTCGCCATGAAGCTGAAGCCTCCTCGCCTCAGCAGATTGATCTTCGAACAAGGATCGCCGGTAATGGACTCGCCTTGTGTACTTCCATCCCGCGGCACGTCCCTCTCCTGTAGAACTAAATGAAGGCATCGTTTTTGAGGCCGGCCGAATTCAACCCTGTGTCGAGCCCTTGCGTCATACGTTCTGTGGTGCTTGCCATACGTTACCGACTGAGGAGAGGAAATTTCAGAAGTTCCACCCCTAGAGCACACTCCCCAAGTGCAATCGCGTTTTTTTTCTGCTCTAGGGTTGGACGTGACAAATCGAGGGAGCAGAGACAATTTAGCACCGAGAAAGAAGCTTTTAAACGTTTCGAACCAAAGCTTGTGCTTGTGACTCTTACTCTCATGGACGTGTCCCCACCCACCCTTCGATTTTCTTGCGGCTGCGGCCGATTTTTGGACCAATTACGTGTCTTTGAGCCACTCACGCAGGACGATCTGCGTACACCTATTGCAGCTGCTGTAGCCAAAGCTTCATCTTCAAATTTCCGTCCGGCTGTCGGATCCGCCGAGGGTTTTCGGCGAACACAGAATTAATGTACTCACACCTTCACCGATGCGCAAGGACCAAAGAACTGTTTCCTTGTCACACAAAGCGCGGAAGGGTCCTGATTTTCGTCTGACACCCGATTAACGCATCGTGTCTCTTGCCGTGTGATTTGCTTTGGATCACTCGAGCAGGGCGACCTGAGTTCCACCATCATCCCGTGGGGGTTCGTGTCCCAACAGAAGGTATCGGAAAGCGTCAGGCCAGACCGGGCGGGCGACGGACCGGGGGACGACGGCAGGGTAGAGAAGCGTGCGGAGCACCTCAACCTCGACACGTGGGAGTTCCTAAGGGTGCGGCATTTTTTGTCTATAAGCGGGTGCTGGTTGTTCCCACCACCCTTCCCGTGTTTTGAAAAACTATAGGAATAGCACACCTACCTCTTCGATTTACTGTTTCCGTTTTGTTGCTTCTCGTGCGTGTTTTCTAGGGAGCCGAGCTTGCCTACCGATGCGCTGCTGGACTCTTCGCGCCCCCGCCGCACAAGCGGAAGGACCCACCGCCATTCGAGGAGGCAGCAACCGCTGCCCCAGCTTTCGGTCAAGCCGGTAGCCGGGGGGAATGCGGCGGCGGGGGTTCCGTGGCTGGGTCAGCGGCGGGGGCGGGGGGAGGAGGGGGTTCGGCTAACCTAGGACCTGATATGCCGCCGCAGAGAGCTCAAGGGGGAAGAACAACGCCGACGGACTTCTTTGACTTCGACGTGGCATCGCCTGAAGTGAGTTTATGGTGTGTGGAGGAGAAATGAACTATGTCGATGGAAGTTGTTGGGCGAACCGGCTGCTGCGACGATGGTACCATTGTGTTGCCTCGCTGTAGCTTTTTGAGCACATGAGCCACTGACCGCAAGCTGTCTACGTCGGGCGCGAAGAAGAAAAAAAACGTGCCAGGCATCACACTGGAACGACACCCGCAATGTCATAACCTCTTGACAATGAACGACATGGTATGTTAACGAAGTGCCGCACGGCAATCCCCCTCTGAAAGGTCACGAATTGGCTATCTTGTCTCGTCTTCTTCTTAGTTTTGCCGGTGCATCGTCTCTCTGCGACAACGTTCTTCCCCCGCGCGTTGCTTGACGCCTACTATTTGCATGTGTCATGGTCATATTTCCAACAGTATTTCATTTCGAGTCGTCACACACAAGCTTGTTGACGCCAAACCGTTCCCCGTCCCGAGCTGTTTACGAATACTTTGCCACGAAAGCAAACGATGCCTATCCCACGCATGAGTCGGTGCCGTCCTTCGAGTACCTTTTCCTGTCTGCTCTGTTCCGTGTTTCCCGACTCTTGCGCACCGTGCTCCCCCCTCCCCCCTGCTTGTTGATCTGAGCACAGATGAGCATGTTTCTTAACGATGTCTTGGAGTCATACCGGGCGCAGGGGCTGGTGCCGCGGCTTTCGGTAGCCAGCGTGGAGGCAAAGCTGTGCAAGGTCGGGGTTCGGCTCGGTGGGATTTCCAAGAACACGTACGTCCGAAAAGAAACAACGTTAGTACCTGTTCTGGACACACAACCGAACAGCCTTTGTTCTTTTGTCAAACATGCTTTCTCAGCGTGGGGTGTTGTCGTATTTTGGGCTAAGTCGCTGTCGGTGTTTTTTTCTTACGGCCTGCCTTCAGTTTATCTTCTGGTTTGTGGCTGTTGGACTTTTTACAAAGACGATGCTGCCAATGGAGCTCGGTCTGCGGGATGAAAGGTCCTTGAAAGTTCATCAGCGGCCATTGCGTTGAATTGGTTTTTTTGGTCTTGTGATATCTATGAGAAGCTGAGATCCGGCGTTACATCAAACTGAGTGCCGAGGTTCTCACTTCGCTACGGCGTTACATCAAACTGAGTGCCGAGGTTCTCACTTCGCTCCGGCGTTACATCAAAAGCTGATTAGTGCAGAGGTTCAGCATTTTCGGTAGACGGGTTCAGCGCTCTCTTTTCCTCGAACCCGATGTTCGCGCTAGGAAAAAGATTAGTGCAGAGGTTCAGCATTTTCGGTAGACGGGTTCAGCGCTCTCTTTTCCTCGAACCCGATGTTCGCGCTAGGAAAAAACACGCTGTAGGTGGCATCCTGCCCTGCTGCCCTTGCAGGATAATTTTGCTGGTAAGCGTTGTTTTCTTCGACTCCGTTCTGGGCTATCTTCTGTCGTGCCTGCCTTACTAGAAACGAGCCAATGATCACGCCACAATACGCGGCCAGGGCATATTAACCATGAGGGTAGCCTTTGTCAATTCCCTCTGTTTGTGTTGTTTTCCTCACTTTGTTGCTTTTGTCTCTCCCCGTATTATGATATTCAGAAATTTCGGGATGATGAGCGCCGACGAGGCGAGGTACCACCTTACCATGGGAATGGTGAGTTTGACAGTCCCGCCCAATTTTTGTTTTCTTCGTGTTCGTTTCGGCTCTCGTTTTCCCTGTTTACGTGAATCTGTTGTTGTTGCTGTTGTTCAGTGTCAGGCAGCACGCTGTTCCTCTTGATTACAGTATCGGAAAAAAACGTGAGAGTCCGACCGGATCGAAATGGGAGCCATGAATCTGTTGTTGCTACTGGCTGTATTTGGTTCTCCTATGTACCACTGTTTGGTTGCTATTGGGGAGTCACGACAAACGAGCTAGCGGAAAGGTATGATTTTTCCTTGATCATCATCTATTTCCGTTGGCGTGTCCTTCATGTACCGGTCTTGCTCCGCCTGGAGTCGTCCACGAGCTGGACGATTTCGTTCCTTGCACTAGGCTTCGCAACAACTTCGTTTTGGTCACATTCTTTTGACAATCCAGCTGGGACCTGAAGGGGTGTTGATAAACGAGCTGGAGGGAAGAGCGCCCCAGAGGGTCATCGCGGACGTAGAGCTGACCTGCGAAGAGGAATTCGTGGTGGAAGACGGCAAGGGGAACGTGGTTCACAAGCTCGAGTCGCAGGGCCCAAAGGCAAGGGAAAACATGTTGTCGTTCATGGTCAGTGTATTTCGCAGTTGTTGCCGCAACCCTTGTTTTTTTTGTTGTTGTTGTTGTTGTCGACGATAGCTCAGGACGACACAGGGTTCGACGTTGCCAGTAGATTTTCGAACCTACCGGAGGTTGAACACACGCATTTTCTCGGACGTTTCCCGTTCGCGAAGCACGCCTTTGTGCCCTGTGTTCATCACTGCTTGGCCGTGCACACATGTCTGCGTTTCAAGTGCGCTATCGCTCTTCCCGCTTCAGAGCACACAATCAGGGGGGAAGGTCTTGATATTCCTCGCATCACATCGTTCTCTTGATTTTTGGCGAGACTTTTTATTGCTTTTGTTCTGCCCCCTCAGGTGCACTACATTACGCTTCAGAGCAACATCGGGAAAGACGCCGAGCTGGAGTGGCAGATCACCAACATCAATGATGTGATCAAGCCGACGTTCAACTACTACTTCTCTCGCTTCGGGCACTGAACCCCGCGCGCAACGCCATGGAGTTCAACGAGAATGGGCTCGTTGAAGGTCGTTTCTGCCCTGCACTTCCGCAATATTCTGCTGAGTGTGAATGTGGCGTTTTCGACGTCAGTTTTCTGCAGCCAGTCTGTCGCTGATGCCCCGTACGCGTGCTGCATTGGACGGGATCACGACCACGGGCGGAGGAATGGATGGGTCAGAGGAACATGAAGAGTTTTCCGTTGCGGTAGGGCAGCCAGCAGTGGTGTCAGAAATAACCGTTGTTCTCTGGTAAGGGTGGAAGCACGCACCATTTTAGGCGCGAACCATAGATATTAGAGTGGGGAGATTACATGGGGCAGGTATAGAAAAGGCCCATTCGTCTACTCAAACGCAGTTCTTGAATCGATGTTGAATATATGCCCCGCAAGTTTGAAGGGTTTCGTAATGTCTAGACTAGAGAAGCCCAGGAATTCAGAGCACGTGTTGCTGCCGAAGGTGCGAGGAAGGCGACTTAAGGTAATCGGAAACCCCGGCGCAATATATAAATACCCGGTGGTTGGGGTTGGGAAAGGGCGTACGCACGTGTGTGGTGCGTGCATGTATCACGCAAATGAGTTCTTAACCGGCTGCGCCAACCGGCTGCAAACACAAGTATTTCTGTTTTTGGCGTGACAAAGAACCCGATGATTTGCTTGTTCAAACCGGTGGTGAAGTGCATGGGCGCGTCATTGGCCTGCGGAAGGGAATGTACGCAGGTGTACCAGATCGAAGAAATAGACGCCCCGGGGAAAATGAAGTAAGTGCTGCTTGTACGATAGACAAGGGTGGCACCACACCCCTGTGGGTTGGTGCTGTGCTATGTAGGCACAGGGTATGGTATATTTTAGTCGACTTTTCGCCGTCCGCCAGAATGATGCAAATAGAAAATGAGGAGTGACAGACGTGTCCCTCCCTGCAGTCTGGTCTGGTGACACGCAACAATATGTCGTTTGCAAGTTCTTTGCTTGCTGATTGCGAGAAAATCGCGAGTCTGCTGGATGCCAAGTGAGAAACTTTGTGTGTTCTTGAGTGTGGGCTCGATGTCTTTGTGGGCATAAGTATGCATCCATGTTGTATAGGTTATGGATTTTGAACAGCTCTCGTCAAGGGTCGAGGGACTCGCGGCGTTTTCTGGTGCCACCTTCTGATCGAGAAAATGACATTGACTGATGGTCTATGTACTGCGTATTTTCCAGACGACGCCCAGCGAGACGCTGTGTTTGGGATTTTTGAACCGCGATCCATAATTGCAGTTGATTATTTGAATTTCTACACATAAATAACATGTGTAGCGGGACGTCAACTCTCTTGGGGTCCTTTTCACAGGCGCTGCTACAGCAGTCTAGAGTTTATCAGCGGCGGCATGAGTCTACACCAATGTACACCAATCAATGTAGACTTACTTCGCTTCGATTCGGTGTTTCGTGAACTTCGTATGTGACTCTACACCTCTCTCTTCACTTGTAATCACCTCGAAGCTACTGCTGTGTAGAATTTGTTCGACCACACATAGATAGATGCAGGTTGTTGCTGCATTGCTTTGTTCTCTCCTCGATTTGCTCTATCCACTTTCATGTCCACAAAAATGCAGCCGGAATCCAACACGAAAACCAAGCCCAAGCGCACGCGGCACATGATGATGACTCGGCAATAAAAAGCCTGAATCTTGCATCATGACGAACATCTGACAACAACGCCTAATCACCACCATCATCGTGTAGTCTTTCCTCGCGTTGCGTTCGTCCTTAGTAAAAAGGCGAAAGGCCATAGTGCAAGTTCTTGATACAGATCGACTTGATCATTTAAATCTGCCGGTGTAGGCGACGGAGATGGACGGTACAGTGTACAGACGGGCGTTTTTTTTTCACGGGAGGTACTCCTTTTGTTCGTCCGAAAAAAGTTTCAACATTTGAATTCTGTGAAGACCACAACAACAATCCCAACGCATGTGAGCGACATCCACACAAAGACCAATTCAGAACAGCTTCACGCACTACAAGGAGGGCACCTAAGTCCACATGGCTGGACATCCTCCAGGCAAGAGCAAGAGGCGAGGGTTCGGTCGAATTAGAACTGCTGGTGGCCAGTTCGGAAAGCGTCCGGCACCTCCTCCTCCTCCTGCATCAGACGACCCACTCGTCGTGCAAGAAGACAACGATGAGCCGCAACTTGATGGCATTGGAGAACACGAGGACAAAGGAGGCGGGAAGGACGACAGCAGCGGGAGCGAACACAGCAGCGGCACGCCAGAAGACGTAATGTGTGACGGGACGACCCAAGGACAGAGGCACGCGGTGTCGCAAAAAAGATCAACTCGCGTGTTGCCGATTGCAACGTACGCGACTCCGCAGCGAGCGGGCGCGACCAAAGGGCACCACCCCTGGAGGACCGGGACGAGGCAAGACAAAGATGACGACATGGGCCAGGATGGTTATGAAAGGCTCCAAGGGAGCACGGAGGGAGGCTCGGCTCGAGAATACCAAGGAGCAACGTGAAAAACGACGGTCCGCAGAAGAAAAGCGAGCAGCTCGGGCGGCGGCCCTGCGTGAGCGGAAGAAGATCTACACCGAGGCGCGCGCTGCTCTTCTCCAGGTAAGCACACAGTAGCGGTATTTCATGCCGTCGTTTAGCTGGGTAGCTTCCCACCTGTCTGTTGCTGTGGGTCGACTGCCGATTGTTTTTTCATTTCAGGAAGGCGAAAATAACATCCCGCTGGCGGGGCAACCCTCAACCCTTCCCCGTGCTTTGTTGAGTGCCGCTCAGAAAAACCGCGCGTGTGCGTTTTGCGTTGTTGGCGTCGCCCGCAATACATTTGTCTACAGTAGACCTAACCCGCTCACTAATGAATGGTAGACGCAAGTTGTGTAGTGGGATAGAAAACACGAACACGACTTATATTCAAAGAGTTTACCGGCGTGTGTGTGTATTTTTATTTGTATCGACCTCGCTAACCGGCTGACCAATGAAAAGACGCCAGTCTCAGTGCGGTTGAAAACACACAACACTTCTAAATGCCATTAACTGGGACCCCGTGAGGGGGTGGCACGGGGGAGACTAGCCTATTCTCCTGATCAAACACAGAAAAGGTAGCAACAGAAGAAACTGCACACGTCTTCGAAGGCTGCTACCTTGTACTCGATTTTGTTTTGGAGTGCGTTCATCGTCATCCTCCTTCCTTCCAACCCTATCGTTCTCATGGTCGTTTTCACAGCAACTTCTCGACATTTCGCCTCTACATAGTAGCCCTGCGTCGTTTGTGGTGGGGAATGTCGTCTGGCTCGAAGCTCTTGCTCTCTTCCACGCCATTATTCCCTCCTCGACTGCTGCTTTGGTCTCTGCCTTGTCCTCCTCCCGCTCCCTCTCCTCTTCCTTCATCGCTGCCAAACGAATCCCCCTTCATTGCCATCATGGTCGTTACTATCTGCACTACTACCGAGATCCCAACCTATTGGCCGTGGTGGGAACTGATCAAGAAGTATCCCATGACGTCTGAAAACCTCACGAGCTACTGTAGTACCGATAGAAAACGAGCCAGCTCGAAGGTAAACCGTCTCCGAATCCTATTGGTATGAAAAGCCTTTAGGCGAAGCAAAGGCTGTTTCGTCTTCGAAATTACCCTTGCAAAAGGCTTCATAAGCCAAGTGGTTGGCGATGGCTACGATAAGTCGACTTGTACCTTTGCCAAGACCACCATACGTTGAAAAAGCAGCAGTAAGGAGGGTAGATCTATCTAAACGGGTTGGAAGTTCTCGCATAGTGATTTGCCTTACTTGCAGCTCGGTCTTCGAGGGCAGATCCTGGCTTTTGGATCGACTTGTCGATGTTTCTCGACCTGCGGATGGATTGACGATTTTTACCTCTATAAGAATGGACTTGGTGCAGAGTTCCTCTTCTTTATCTCCTGCGTGTAATCCTGGGTGGATTACCAAATCCATCTTGTAGAGTCCTTTTCCCCTACCAGTGCCTGTAGTGAAAGGGGAAGAGTCTTCCACGGCAATAGGCATGTGGCATTCGCGTATTGTGTTTAATATCACGCGAACCATCCTGTTGTGCAGGAAGGTCGAGGCACCGGTTTTCGTGCAGATCAGGGAGTGATGTCGGCTCACCCGTTCCTTGCACGGCGACAATGCACCTGCACCGCAAAGTCTGCCTTTGTCACATTCAGTTTGATCGTGGCTCCCCAACACACGACCTATTGAAGCTCGATACAAGTCAGGCAGCACTCGTTCATCTGGCGACAGTCCTTGGGTTGTCAGCCACGACAAAAATCCCTTGCCTTTCAGTCCCTCCTTGCAGATACTGATACTGCTGCTCTCGTTCTGTTCATGACTACAAAAACTGCGGCAAGCACCCGCATGCCATCACTTGCCTCGTCTCGTGTTCACTCTACATGAACGATTACGATCTATTGCCGCCGGTTTCGCTTTGGTGCGTGCCCCCCCCTCCTTTCGTCATTCTTATCAGCCGGTCCATCAGTTGAAATTGGACACCATCGTGGAGCACCCGGAGGAAGCTCTATCCACCGACAGCAAGAAAGGGCAGGCGTATCGGCAGGCGTATGCCATCTTGTTCTTCGTGTCTTTGGAGTACTTCCTACTTCGGATTTTTGAGGTTATCGAGACGCGTTTGTTGACGAGTTGTCGAATTAGCTTCCAGAACAAGGGTGGGATTTGCTTTTTTGTTAGCGTTGAGTTTTGGGGACGCAATGCCACCAAATAGTCCTGTCTAGCAATAGGTTTTGAATTACCAGACATGCCTAGCGAGACCCTGATTCAGCCCCCGATGTAGGCTTACACTTCCCTTGGTTCCTGTTTGGCGGAGCAGGTTGAATGATAGATTTCACCCCATGGAGCACAGCAGACTTGCAGCAATCGGGGCAGGCGTGACCGATCGGGTGGTCCGGTCGTGGTGTCGGGAGTTCGTCGCCAACAGGAGGTTCAAGACTCGTGTGTGCCAAGATACAGAAGAAGAAGAATCTGTTCTGGTGTGCTCTCACTTTATCCCCCCGTTGACAACGGAGGAGGTGGATGGGTGGTGGGATTCCCTGGTGGTTTTCTTGCCTCGGGGTGGAGGCTCGATATTCTATCGACGACCAATAGCACAGGATGAAGGCGAGAAGGCGGAGAAATCAGCAGCACACGGCGCTTGATAAGGTAGACGGATGAATAAACCTTCGCATGGGTCGGATTTATTACAAGCGGGTGAAGGTAGGGATCTTCTCATGGATCCAATGGTTCTGAGGGAGGTAGGCGGTCTCGTATGGATCCATGCCATGGCGGGGCACGGGTACGTAGATAATTAGGATCCAGGCACATCCCATGTATGGATGCTACGTTGGGCTGGAATAGAAGTCGTAGGCATATACAGTATTCCTAACCCTAAGCTCACTAGGAAACCTAAGTTCACGAGCAGCGATGGCTAGGCGGCGATAGAGGATTAGCAGGGGTTCTAAAGGCTTTACTCAAATGTAGAGGACTTGCGAAGGGTGTCGCGAAAACTGACGAATGGGCGTAGGTCTGAAGTGAGACAGCCGCGGGAAGGTACAATTACGGGAAACTAGAGGCTGACTGCCAGTGGGCAGTTGTATGGCGGACTGCACGTTGGCAGTAGCCTGGAGTAGACCTCGACTTGGGTTTAGTGAATGGTCAAGCACCATTTGGGGACTCGGTTACTGCGGACCCCTGCGTATAGTAGCAATAGCCGGTTTCCCCCCGGCTGGATATACATAGCTGACTTGCGTGCGGAGAGTGATAAAGAGACAGTTTTTGAGGGGGAATCAGGCGCGAGGTTCCTACCCTTCTCTCTCTATCGTTGGTGATCTAGAAACAGATAATGACCAAGCAAATCGACAACAACAACTGACTCTAAAACAAGACTGGCTTTCATTTACCTCCTGCTCTGAAACGTTACTAGCTTGGGCGACATAGCCCGAATGGCGGCTACACTCGTGCTCGAAAGGAGCAACGACAACGAAACGGGATGACCACAAAAGTGACTACAAGGCGCAGGAACGCACAGAGTTAGAAAACACCTTCTTCGTGACGCAAAGATAGAAGTCAGAATACGGGAAGGCCATGCTGTAACATTGTTCGACACGCAATAATGCAAACGAGGCAAGGTCAATACCGAAACTTCGTCGCTTGCTGTTTTTTGCCCCGTTGATTTGTTGTGCGTTACATGGTTAGTCGCCCCCGGGAAATCCAACACATACAACCCCGATTGGATCAAAATTCACACGCCACGTACTAGGAGACGTTCAACTTAACCACCTCGGTCGTCTACACCACCACCACCTTCATCCCCCGCCGCCCCCAGCCCCGGTGACACTGCCGGCAACCCTGGTCTCCAAGGACCCGCTGTCCGTGTGTTGCTAGCCCCCCGCCCACTATCTACTCTATGCGGTCTCTTCGCCGCCGCGGCTGCCGCGTGCGCTTCGCTGCTCCTGCCCTTCACCGAAAAGAACGTCGACCCTACGTCCTCCATGGACGGCGGCGGCGGTGGCGGTGCTCGACCTGCCCCGAACAGCCTTGCCACGAACGTCACCGGCCCAGATTCCACTGGTCTTCCTTGTGGGCCTAAATCAGCGCCTGAGAGGTTCTTGCCACTGAGGCTGCGGACTAGCCCGGACACGGCCTGCCCTGCGCTATCTCCACTTGTCGCGGCTTCGTTGTCGGTAACACGGGCGGACGGAACGATTTGCCGCTCATGTGATACGAGTCGACCGATCCACGGGATCGTGTTTTCGTTTCGATCATGGTACGGAATATTGAATCCTCAAGGCCGATGGCGTAGGTTACAAGAATTCATTTTCTGTGTACCATTGGCAGGTCATTTTGTGACGTATAGAGCTCCGTTCTTCTTATTGATGGTACATGATGGACGAAGTACCGGAAAAGGGCTACTGTACGACAAATTAATGGTTTCAATACTAGAAAAACACAGTAAGGCCATCACAGGAGGGAGGCGGGCTTAGTTGCTGGAATTCTAGGCTACGACGAACCTCGTCGATCATAGAGGCCCCATAAGAGAGAAAACCTACAGCAGGGTGGGTCTTGTATGGTTCCGGTCTACATGCGTACTCTATCGGCACGAGAGAGAAATTACCTTGTACGCAGGATTTCGACACGATAAGCAACAACAGCAACAACAAGCAACAAGCAACAAGGAATAACCACAACAACAATATCGAGAAATATCTTCATCATCATCAAAATCAACAACACGCCGCGGCTGAGTAGGGCGGCTCCATTGCCTGGAGAAGACAAAGGCTGGTTGTGAGCCACTTTCTCCGAGAATGAGATTGACAATATTTCGAAACGGTGTTCGTGCTATCCCCACCATTGGATTTGTCGGCGCCTCCCTCGAGCAGCGCGCTCATCTTCCGAGTGCCGTACTGGTCGTCCTCCTCCTCGAAGAGCTTGAGGAAGTCGAACAGGGTACCGAGGTCTAGCGGGTGGGGAACGTACTCGTCCACAAGGTCTTCCTCCAGGAATGCCTGAGCAATACACGAAACGCCAAAAGCAGTTCAACTTCCAAGATTAACCTCCGAAGAGGTGTGCCTGGTTCATTTGGGGGGGTGATTGAGACCCGTGCCCAGCAAGAGCATTCGCCATGCGTAACAAAAGTACCCAGCTGCTGGTTCACGAAAGGTTTTCTTCTCCTCTTTAGATAGGGGTTCTGGAAGTATGCATACAATCACGGATAGACTACCGTACGTGCTATTATCCATATCGCAGGGATGTGTTTGAAGCATTTACAGAGGGTGTTGTTTAGTTTTGCGCCACAAACAAATGATATCGCTACACCCGACAGAAATGTGCAAGTTTGACACACTACAGCAAGGACTTGGGGACTAAACGCTTCTTGGGTATTGTACGACGATGGATCGATTGTCTATCGCACTCCGGAAGCCCTCGAGAGAATGCGAAGAGGCGGCGGGGCCACTGAGAACATGCAACGCCGAACAATATCCCGTGTGGCTATCAGCCACAACACTTCTGGCGAAAAAGGCAACACCAATTTTGTATACGCTGAAGTTGGGGGCGGCGGTAGCGTCGAAGCGGCCTGAAACCTTTGCGCCCCCGATGACAGCAGACACCCCGAACACCCACACCGCCCACGCACATCAACCCGAGCAGCATTTGGTTGGTTAATCCCATTCTTCCTCCCTCCGGCAATAATATGTCATTGCAACCTCTGTTCCATTTTTGTATTTTTTTCCCCTCAAATACTTCTTGCGAACAAGGGTATGGTTCATCGAACCGCGTGATCTATCACCCTCCCTCCTGCCATCCCCCATCCTCAATTAACCCTCTTGTACAAACCTCCAGATCGTCAAACGTGACGCTCCCGGCGGACGTGGTATGAAGCAGCAGCTTCGTCGAAGGCCCGGGCTCGTTCAGCTCTTCTCCCTCCTGCCCTGCTCGGCCGCTAGTGTTCATGGAGCGAATGGAAGTGGCGACTTCGAGCTCATGGGCGCGCACTCTCCGGCAAAATTCCGTGCCCGACATTCTCGGCATGTGAAGGTCCACCACGGCTACCTGATAGTAACCCTCGAGGATCATGTCCATCGCTTCTTCGGCCGAGTGCGCCACCTTGAAGACGGACACACGAACACAAACCGTTCGCAGGATTGTACTGAAATTGCTCAAGGAGTGTTGTTGTCTCCTGCGGCGAGGTGGGTGTGCCACGGTGCAGCACTGAACAGCGTAGCACATCGTACATGTAGAAACAATTAGGGACGTGCTTTGGTTGCGAGGTGGAGGTTGGGGGGAGGAGATTGGACTATAAACTGGATGCTCACGAATGTGCAGCTTCGCGTTGCCCGAACTCTTAGCAACCCCCCCGCCAGCCTCGCAACCTTCAAGCATGGTAGTTGTGGCGCCCGTTTCAGAGCTGTACGCACGCACCCCACCACAAATTCTGCTTCTGATGCCTCTGTATCCACACACTGATCCCCAGAGCTACGGCTGTGGTGTTCCTTCTGGTCCCCTTCCCCGTGCTGTTGGTCGCGCCTCGGCGACATACGATGATGCTCCACGCGGTTGTTTGAGTATTTTTAATTGCAACGTCGAAAGAACGCCGACGTTGAAGATAGAGGGGAGCACCCAAAGCCCCAAACCCGAATCGGAGAGTGCATAGCACTCCCACCCACCACCCATCCTGTGCAACGAAGTCTACTCCCCATGTTCAACACTTGAAACTCTAGCGGTCTCTTCTCACCGTGACAAAGAAATTTCTTTCCTTGAGGCGGGGGAGTGCCCATCGAACCAAGCCCTGCGGATCCACCAGGAGGATCTAGATGGTGAAGAAGGTCATCATCATGGACGCCGTCACCCCGAAAAATATATTTGCAAGGCGAGGACAAGGTTCGGTGAAAGGCTCAGCTGGGCTAGCGAGCGCGAGGGGGGAGGGCACTTGGGTTTCAGAGTAAGATACTTATCTCAGGTAGTACATTAGATCAATGCGGGCTTGGGTAAAGTCAGTACATTTGGCCAGCTCAGTGGAGGAAATACGACGATGTCAACAACGCCAGCAACGACAACACGAACCACACTAGCGACGACGCTGCCATAGCTTCGATCGAGGATTTTCATTCTCCACGCAATCTCACTGCTTGGTAGCCTGTTCGGCGCGATCTGACTTATGCTCTAGCCCTAGCATGCCCTACCCTGTCATTGGGACAACTTCTCACCTCGAGAGTTTGCTCACTCTCTTCCGTGTCCTCCTCGCTGTCTCCCGTGTCTCCCTCCCTTTCCTCCGAGATGTTACTCGCGACCTTTCCTGTCCCCAGCCAATTCATGCTCTGAAACAGAACCAACGTGTTGGTGGACGGCGTGCACGGGTGTTTGTTCGCTTGGTTATTAGCATTCGTTGTTTCACGGGGTGGTTTCTGGGCGATTTTTTTTGTGTTTTATTGTTCGGTTGCTTGTTTGCCCGTCCATTGTGGTTATCATTTGCCATTTACCGTTTGTTCAGTACTGCTGTCGCGACACTCATATATTGATTTTCTGTTTGGTCGTGTGCTCGACAAGGGCAACAAATGGTGATTTCCAGGAAAAACATCAGTCCCTATGAAAGTGAGATAGCCCGGGGCGGTCACGGCCGTCTGGTGGACTGACTTTATGACCCTTTCTCTCGAACTAACCTGATACCTTTTCGTCAAGCCCACCGCAGTTGTGCCTTAAACTTCCTACCTGTGCTCAACAATGATCAATCGGCATTATTTCCATTTATTGTTCTTCCCCGTGCAGGTTTTGCGACCTTATTCCCTCTGTTGCTGGCTCCGCACCTAGACTGCATGCCCCAGAGAATGTGACCCAGAAGGCAGGAAACAAAGCAAGACCAGCACAAGAGGCCTGGCAATTCCGGAAAAAAACTCACGTTGGACTCCACCAGGGTCTGGACCAGGCCCCCGAAAACGGACGCCTTCTTTGTGACCGCCGCCGCCGGTGACGGAGCCGAGGATGGCCGTTTCAAGAACAGCCCCGAAGTCAGCCTCGCTGCCGCCATCCCCGCCGCCCCCTGCCCGGCGGCTCTCGCGACCGCCTCGTGCTTGTGCATCGACACGTTCCCCTTGTCGCCGGCGGCGGCAGTTTTTCGCATCGCGCCCCTGACCTCCTCGGCGGCGGCCGCGGCCTTGCCCGGGTTTGCCTCGTCCTCCTGGAGGCTTTCCCTGAGCTTGTCGAGGCCGCCCTCGGTTCCAAGGAGGTTTCTAACGGTGATGCTGAGCGATCTTCGCTTTGAGGTCCGTTCCCCTCCCGCCGCGAAGCGCTTTGGCGAGTTTGGCGAGGATCGTGATATTCGGTCGACGGGGGTGGACGTAGTTGCCACGGAGGCAGCTGCGGTGGTTTCTCCGATGTTGGTTTCCCCTGACCATGCGGCGGCGGCGGCGGTAGGGTCCGGGGCGCTGGAAGGCCTCCTGTTGGCATGTTCGTCTGGATTGAAACCACAATCCGTCGCCACCCTAGACACTCGAATGTCTTCCAAACGTGGGACGTTGGGCCTCGCCGACACGCTCTTACCACGGCCACTGCTGCCGACGATTGTCCCGCCAAGGCTCGACCGGTACCCGTGCCCGATAGTGTTGCGGTCAGTCCCGCCGGCGCCACCCACGCTCTTTCTGCTGCTTCTTGCGCGGTCATCACTATCGAACTCCATGACATTGGTCGTCTGGCTGCCTTCCAGAGAGATCTAGGTCAAGGGTAGGTCGAAGGGATGGGGAATGCGGCGGGGAGGGAGGGGCGGTCGCGACGAGGAGGGGAGAGACGAGTTCCCTCTCGGGAGCGGGTGGGAACGCGGGCGGCCATCTCTGCATCTCTGCTCACGCGATGAAATCGAGAATCCGATTTAGTATGAGCTCGTGGTTCAGAACCTATACCGGAGGATCAGCCCCCTTTCGATCCTTCGAAAAATACCCCTTCTTGTTATGGTCAACAAAATTTCCTCCGAAGACTCCTTCTTGGAAATTTTGCTCCCCTCAGTCTTCTCCGTCCAACCCGAGTCATAACTTCAATTTATTTTCCACTATCTATCTGGAACCTCAATACCCGCTCCCGCGTTTTCCCATCTATTCCCGTCTGAAACAACATCACCTCCACCATTGTAGAACCATTGCGTTCCCTGCCCCGCGTATTCAACACCAAAACATCTCTCCCCTCTCATCCGCAAGCCATACTTTGAGAGGAATGCGTTCTTGAGTGGTTAGCCGTTGACCACATGCCGGAGACAGCTGAGTGTCCCCACCCCCGAGCGTTCCCTTCCTGCACCCACTACACACCTCGGTGTCTTGGATGGCCGGGAGTATAGTACCCCTCTTCTTTGCAGCCGGCAAGCCATGGAGGGAAGATGGCGCCGACGAAGACAGGCGTGGCGACGGGTTGACAAATGTAGGTGATGCGGCCATAGCCCCTGGCCGTGGAAGCGCAGCTGCTCCTGCTCCTGTCGCCCCTGCTCGAATGATTCAGCTCACGTGTGTTATAGAGTGCCGACTACCTCTTTTGAGCACGGCTGAAAGCCTCGCAATGTCTTAAACGATTGAGCTATCACATACGTTGGCGACGTAGTCGGCGGCTGAGCCTCATTTCGTCCGTAAATCTTCATGTCTAGAAAGAAGAGAGCCTCAGTTTCTTGTGGAGACGTTTCTTTTGAGCGGGTCGGCACTGGAACTAAAGGTTTCACAGTGGCGAAGGGACACGCTGTATTTGGGGACAATGACGAAATATTTGTGTGTCTTCTCTTCCCCATCGAGTCAAAAGGGTTGTTGCCGATTGAAACCAGCTTGGCTGTGCATGGTAGTGCAGTAGCTTCACAAGGCTAGGACCAGCAGCATTCTGGCCCAGGAAGAAATGGAGCAGACATTATACACCAGCCTCTCGCGTCGGGACACGGCAAGATTCATGAGTGGGTAAATCACGCTGTTGTTCGACAGGAACGAGCGTGAGTGATGAGTATCTCGTCAAGAGTCACGTTTCATGCAAAGACACTGCACGTTGACGGCAGTACGAGTGAGGGTGGCTGGTCGATCCCGTGCTACTGTAAGAGCCCATGAACTGTGAAGACCGCCATCTGTTTCCTGTCGCAAACTCGACAAAGAACGTGAACCCGTCCCGTGTGTATCGCATTGTGGTTACGGGTAAGCTGTGTCACGTACGTTTTCACCTGCTGTTGCGCCAAGCCATAACGTCAACAGCAAGACGACTATTATCGAGGTCGTCTGCTTCAATGCTCAACACGGTTTTCAAGAAAATATGTCCCGTCGGAGGCATTACTCGAAGGGCCTTGTTCATCATGATCACACGTTCGCGAAGAGTAGCGTACGAAGATAACACATGGAACAAGCCAGACATCACATGGTATTCCACGATTGTTTCTTGGAATAGGAGCTACTAGCAGTCGCTGCGAGTGGCTCGAGCCCGGTTCAGGGGTCATGTCCCGTGAAGCGCGAACAGGCAAGCAAATAAAAATAGTCAGACCATCCACTCCGGAGGGAGTGCGGTATTGACTCCAGCACCTTGATTTGTTTTGGTGTTGTTTTGGAACAGATTGCGTTCAGCACGGCGAGCGTGGGCCAAATAACAGCGAAGGACATTTTCGAACGATCGTCGTTTCTTGATGAGGCGTTACCAACATCGGCGTGTTACTGGCATGAAAATGCAACTTGTCGCTGCTCTTGTGAAATAATTTCCCGTCCGTTCTGGGAACATAGAAACCTAATCCCGATTCCACCATAACATAAAGATACACTTGGAGTGGAGCCGAAGGACTATGACCGGCGCCTTAGAAACATTGTTGGGTGCAGCCACTCGAAGTTTACAGCACGTAGAACACCTCACCTGTCTTGTGCGCTGACGATAAAGGTTCCAGCGTTGGGTTTCGACTCGACTCGCGGCGGGCCGCCCTCGGCGCCGTCATGTCAAGCCCCCCTCTCTCTTCGTCCGCTCCCGCCGCCGTCGACGAAACGCTTCCTTCTCCCTGCTTGTCGATCTCGCCGAGACGAGAGGAGCGTGTCCTGCCGGAAGTGCTGCCGCCGCGGGTAGAAAGCACCGATGATGCTCCCGCGTCTGGTAGCTCAGCCGGTGGTCCTTCACCACCGGTAGCAGCAGCGGCGGCGGCGGCGGCCGTGGCTGTATCTCGTGCACTGACGGGGGTGTCGAGCTCAAGATCATCGTCGTCGGGGACGTTTTCTGCCGGGATGGTAAACCAGAGCTCGTGGAACCCCTCCCTGTCTCTGGACCTGTCGTAGTCAGCCTCGCCCCCCAGGGCTAGAGCCGCCGCGCGAACCCACCACGCAGCCTGGTTGTTGGTTTCCGTAATCGAGAAAACAGCAGGCGATCGTCGATGAAGGCAAGGGGTGGTGCGGAGAGAGGGGGAGAGAGATCAAGAGAGAGGGAAGAGAGAGAAATGAACCGAAGAATAGGGAGAGAGAAAGAGCAGGGGAAAAAAAAAATAGAAAAAGAGATCTTGACTGAACGCGGTAGAAGCCGTGTCTAACTCGATCAGTCTCCACTGCAATCGTGAGGATTTCCCATGAGTTGGGTTGGTTGGGGTGCAGTGAGAGAACGGCGACAGACCCTTAACAAATGCAAGGAAATGCTAATGTTGTTTCGGATTAGAGCCTTCTCTTCCTCCACAGTCAGATTCGTTGCGCGTATCAACCACCAACACCTACCACACAATCCTTAGAATCAAGAGGCCGTCAACGACATACGGTCGGGTATAACCCAAGGTTCTGTATGCCCCGAAGTACAGTGATCGAGAAATGTTAAGGTTCAGGCCAAAGCAAGTTAGAAATCGCCATCCAACAGACCCCACACCGCTCACATGCGACCGATATTTTTGGTCGAACTATGAGCAGCGAATAGAAACGGAACACCTCAACACACGCCGCTTGATGAGGATCAAACGGATGGACTTCCATCACGGGTGAGTGAGGGACTTGTCGTTTTTAATATTTTGTTCCCCAGTGATTGTGGACGTCAGTCAGTCCATACGCGCTTCTTTGATGTTTTCTGGACGCATCGATTAGGGCACACAGGACGAAGGCGACACAGGGAGATTCTTCCTTTATGCATGGTGTAAGGGCCAACGATGCTGTGTAGGCACGCCACACATTTCTGCGCTTTTTTTCCTGTGGACAAGTGTCACAGGTTGTGTTTCGTCCACTGTACATTGAGCCAAACAGGGACGGGAATGGTTGCTTCTGTTTTGGCCACGGTCTCGGTAGGTCATGTACTAGTGAAGGCCTACTGGACTAGAACCGTGGTGAACGCTCAAGATTCAAGCTTTGCGACTCTCCTTCGCGTCATTCCAGTACGGGACGGTACTACTACGGTTGGTTTGTTTGTACGCACGGTACCTACGATTCGACTCCAGTAGCAGCAGCAGCAGTAGTAGTAGTAGCAGTAGCAGTAGCAGTAGCAGTAGCAGTAGCAGGAGCAACAGCAACAACGACGAAGAGCAGCAAACAACGACGGCGCAAAGAGCAATTGCCCAAAGTACCGGTGTTCCTGGAGACGTCTGGTTCCGTGTCCAACATGGACGGTCAGATTAGCCACACGGAAACAAAATCGTCGAATAAAGCAGGAAAAGACGCAAAACGCAACGTACTTCCATGTAAACACCGACAACTTGACCGTTTTCGTGAACAAACAACCCAGTTTTCATCGTGTATAACAGCCGGCGGCAAGTGATTGATACTATATCCACCTACCGCTGGCATGTCTCGATCCCACCCAGACAGCACCCTCGGCGCTTCCCGCTGATCCGCAGAAGTTCCATCACCCCCGGAGCCCCCGCCTCCTTCCCTTGACCCCGCGACTCTCCAAACCGCTTCTATCCCCACCCTCATCAACCCCGGCCTTGCGTAGGAAACCCTGAGGATAACGCTATCGTCCTCGTCGGGGTGGAGAGCGTGGATCAAGCACGCCCGCGTCATCTGCTCGAGAGGAAAAAAACCCGGACGAGGGCGGGCGAACGATCTCGCTGAGCACGCACGCGAGTTCTAGGGGGGGGCGGTTCCGGTGAGCATGTGTGTGTGTGGGCGGAAAGGTGTTCTGATGGCAACGCTCTCTGGTCCATTAGGAAGTTGATGTGGGCTGGGCAAGCACGAGGTTCTGCTCGAAGAACGTGAACACCGACAAGGAAAACGAATGAGATTGTCTCAAAGGGGCGGTTGAGTCATGAAACTACCGAAACCAACAAAACAACATCGATTCGTTAACGAATCAAGGGGTTGGTGTGTCTCGGCACTACCAAACAATACAGCGGTTCATCTGCATATATCTCCGGATAGTCTAAACGCGTACCTGGCTAAGCCACAAGCGGTAGGTCTTGACGCTCTTGTCAACGTCGGCAGCCACCCTCAAATCCAGCTGGACCTACGCCAGGAAGAACCAGCAAACGACGGAGGTGACCGTTTTGCATAGGGATAGTCCACAATTTGGGGGGGCACACAAGCCTCCCCATGCGGTGCATGGAAATTATTATGTCGTGTTGAACACAATCATTCCTGCCGTCCGTGTTTCCAGACTCTTCAGGCGTACCGAAGACTACCGATCGATACCACACCCATACTTTTACTTCCGAAGCTGCAGACGGTACACAGAAAATTTGATATTTCATCAATAGCGCAGTCTGAATTGTGCTCAAGAGAGCAATCAAGCTCAGCGAAAAAACGAGAGAGAGAGAGAGAGAGAGAGAGAGAGAGAGAGAGAGAGAGAGAGAGAGAGAGAGAGAGAGAGAGAGAGAGAGAAAGAGAGAGGAAAACAGAAAACGAGGAGGGCGGCGGCGAATCTGTACCGCACGCATCTCCGCGCACACCTTGTGGTGATCTCTTGAAACGGCCAGGTAGGCCGTGGTCCGCAAGCAGGCGTCGAGGATTTCTTCCATGTCCGCCTTCTCAAGGACGGGGGTCGGAAGCTCAGAGGCCCCATTCCTATGATATGGCACGAACGTAGCGGAGCGGGGCATTTGCACACGTATTGTACGTATTCCGGTGAACGTCAAGCAGCCCCACACGGCAAAGAAGTGGCAGGCGAGGGCAGCGGGGGTGACGAGGGATCCTTACAAATGACGCCAAGAAACATGCGAATTTGAAGGGAATCATGGAGCGTCATGGTTCCACATATGCTGACTTCAGTTAACAGAGCTGTGTGCGTGGGGGAACAATACGATTGGTTCGACGTTGAAGGCTCTATGAAAGGGTCAAGCCAAACAACCATGTTTCCCTCTCTGTTGTCGTTGTTGGTTTTTCTGTTTTCACAAGTCTCGTCTCCGTGTCGAATAAGCTCAGCACCACCTCGTGCGAGAAGACTTGGGAAGAGTGCGAAGAGGTCAGAACGGTGGTGGCTATGAAAACGACGACAACACGAGCAGCATCAGCACCGGTATCAGCAGCAGAAACACCAACAGCAACAACGACAGTAATAACCCTCACTTCAATCCGCTGAGCGCCTTCTCCCCGTACTCCGCGAGCAGGCTAACCCCGTCCTGGATCTGCTCCAGGGCGTCGCTGTGCATGACGAAAATTCTAGCATCTTTGAAGAGCTCCTTCACCCCTGCCTCGAGCACGTGAAGCGATGGCTCTGCACACAAGGATGAGGAGGCCGGAAGAAGGGGTGGAGGAAATGATGCGTGCGTCAACGGGGAATAACCACAAACATGTTTGCCATCAATTGGCAAGCAGAGAGGCGGTATCGTCCCCTTCAAAGGGGAACGAGCATGATGATGCACGCATCCCCTCAAAGCCGGGAGGGAGAACGTCGGGTACACAACGCCCCGGTTACACAAAAAAGTCCAGGGCGAAAGCACCGAAAGATACCCGACCGCGAGTTTTGCACGCATGCAGAGCGTCGTCCAACCAGAAACCGACTGCGAGACGGATTCAAAATACACTACACGGTCTCAACACGGTGATCTAGAGGCGCTCCTGCCGGAAGCAATCAAGGGCGTACTCTTCATACGTCTCATGAGGACCTGACCGCCGTCGATACTCGACGCGGACGCGCCGTCCACTCGGCGAAGAGTGGCAGCATTTCAATCAAACGGACCCACTTGGAGTATGGGGAGGACGTGAGAGTAGCTAGCTTGTCGCTTGCCTCGCGCAATCGAATGGGCGGCGGGCTTTCCTCAAGATGTTTTCACAAGTTCATAGCGATGCTATTCTACCAAAAGGCGGCAATATTGTCTCAGCCGGAGGAGAATGTTGGAGTGCCTCCTGTATTTGCTAAGTAAGCTGCGTGAAATGAGTCATGTCCGAGTGGCTCAGAGCAGATGCAGGGCGACGGTGTTCAAGCTACTACTGTTGCTGTTGTTGTTTCGCTATCTTGACGTTTCGCGAGGACCCAGGACCTCTTCCCACAGGTCGCATTGGTTCAAGGAGAAGGAGACCCGGTCCATGTCTCTCGCAGGCGAACCCCAAACGATGTTGTAGAATATCAAGGGTGATAACCCAGAAACAAGGTCCACTGGTGTCCTTCGGTGCAGACCACCTTCTCTTCAAGCGTATTAAATGTGTACTTTGCGCACGCCTCACGAATGCGGAAGCGACTGCTCTACTGCAGCAGCGTTCACAGGCGGGTCGTGTGACGGTTTCTCTCCTGCCCGGTAGGAAGCAAGCGAGGGTACTACAGCCTCCGCAGCCTCTAAGATAAACCGGTGGATAAATTTTCGCCTATCGGGGAGACGAGGGGCGGGGACGGGTCGATTTTAGCCAATGGGAAGGACCCATTCGGATTGCTCAAGGGGAATCGACAGAGGTGCACCCGATGCTCGGAGGGGGCATCGGGCCTAGGGGGCATCGGGCCTAAAGCCATCGTACACACCTGTCACCAGGTGCCTAAGGAGAAGCTCTGAGAAGGCCGATTGGCGTCTCCTGTGGTCCTCGAAGTCCATGCTGTCTTCTAAAGCCATCAGCGTTCTCGCATCCCGTGCTTGTTCCCACAACACCTGGTGGATGTTTTAAAACAGAAGTGAGGGTCAAGAGGCCTCGATTTTTTCCTATAGTGCTCCAAACGCCGTCCGTTCTCGCAGTTCGGTAGTGTAGCCCCGCAACCGAGTGCTTCAGTTGAAAGAACAATATATGGTGGGGGCAGATAGGTACTGCGAGCGACTGTGATCTCCACGACGATAGACACCCCCCAAAAAACAAATGTGGGAAGCCAGAGATCTTCGCCCTTACGGCCCGCATCGTAGCTGCAACCTCCTCAACCCCCTTTAGGAACAGTCCTGGTTTCCACGATGTGAACGATCGCTTCTAGGCCTGCTGGGCAAAGACATAAGTTCCTAACTAGGACAAAAAACTAATTTGTAATGAGTTGAATTGTTGGGCGGAAGTTCGACTCACCCGAAGGTGGAGATATTCCTATGCGAAAATCGTTCGATAAAGAACCGAAGCAGTATCAGTCAGCTAGCCACCCCATTCCCACCGTTGTTGAACTGGTACTTTTGTTCGGTCATTCTTCTGGAAACGCTCCTTTACCCACCCCCCCTTCGCCTCATGCGTGAGTTCACCTGATAGCCAACGGCCAATGCGGACAACCCGCACACGACCAGAGATGCAAACAGCACCAGGGCACCGTCGGCTCCGTCCCCGTCCAAAGCAACCTGCCGTATTTTATATTTTGGTTTCACGTGACTTGTTTCGCTTCCAAGGATCTGGGTACCACACGATGAAGACAGCGTATGCCGAGAGCGAACGCACGCGCGAAGGATCCGATACGTCGCCCCCATCCATTTCGCAGTGTTTCAAGGCCAATCTTCTGCTCTGCTGCCAGACCCCAATTTTTCTAATTGTCCGGGTTTTTATATCGTCCTATCTGCTTTGCCGTCAACCGCTGTGCACCCCATCGCACAAAGCAGGGTCGAATCTAGCGTAGCAATCAAGAACAGTTCCTCCCTGGGAAGACAAGCACGGCTTTGAACCATCTGTAGGCCCATCCTTCAAAGCACAAAGACAACGATCCATCCGTTGAGCGACGGCGCCATCTTCAGTGGTACGACACTCCCGTTCAGTGTCGTGTAGGCAGCAAGCACATACCGTACCATATCAACAGGCCGGGGCAATCCAGACCTCGACTATCCGAGCACGACATCCCAAAGGCAGGAAGTATGTCTTGCGATAGGAGCGACGACGTTGGAAATGATCTGAAAAGGCCAGTTGTTGCTGCTCCTACGTTGCCAAGAACCATGGACGCTGGGTGTGTGGAATCGTGCACAACTTGACGCTGGACGACAGCCACGGCGCTGTAAAACATGCAAACAACAGCCTCCACGAGGTGCGATAGCAGGTTCTTCCTCCAGTCGTGGCCTTCCACCATGCGAAGCCAACCTCCCTTTCCTTCACCAATACGCTCTTCTGCCTTTACCTTCCCCGCACGCACCTCCTCCGCTCGCAACCCGTACGCCAAGGCCACTGTTACGCACAGCCAGCTCGGTACGATGGATCCCCACAAGCTCAGCTGTAGGCTCCCCCCCGCCGCCGGCGCTATCGCCCACGCAATGCCAACGTCTACCCAAGCCCACGCTGGAGTACCAGCGGCGTCACCTCCCTCGACCCCGCTTCCGCTAGTGGTATTTGCGCTATCCGCTTCCGAGGATATCCCACGCCACATAATGTGAGAAAGAGACCAGACAATAAAGCAAAGCAGAGAGATCCCGTTGCAAGCTCTCCGAGTGTCTCGCAAGAACGCCTTCACCAGCAAGGACGACAGGGTGGGGGTGGGCGCACAGACCGAGTGTCAGCTGGAGGATTGAACGGTCATTCAGTTTGGCAGCGTGCGGAAGGAATCCCGTGCATGCAATGCGACTGAAGGGATAGCGTTTTCCCGTAGCGCCACACCCCGTGCCATGACAAATCTCAGAGGTACGCTCGACCACACAAAAATGTGCCACAACTGCCAGACGTTCCACGCAACAATCGTCGGGACTGGAAAACCACGAGTCTTTGAATACTGCCATGGTACACTAGCTTCCATCACCCAAGAATCGCCCCTACCCCGAGATTCAGAAGCTCCTGGGTAAACAGAGAAGCCCTGCCGCCTTTGTATCGGTTGAGTTTGGGAGATTCGAAATGAGCGCCAGCCCAGAGTTGGTAAAGGTCACAGACTCGATGGCCTTTGGGACCCCCGAGGGATTCTTTCTCCAACGAATGTAGCATCTACGGTACAGATTCTGCAATTAGACAAGCTTCAACTGCAAAAGAACTAGAGTTACGAGGACGTTAGGAGAAGTCGACGCGATCACCGCGCGTTGTGTTACATACTCTGCCGAATAAATGTCACCTCGAAATGACCTTCGCACCTTCGTAAACGTGCTCATGAACCATAAGAGGCCTATGATCGCGACGCTGATTCTCCCTAGGGCTAGGTCCACAAGCCCGCTTCGCTGCAGCAGCAAGCATGACGCCGTAGTCGACGCCACGAGAAACACCGATAGAACACGCGAGAGCGCCACGCGTCGGGTCACCGCCAAGCGATCCTGCTTCGCCTGTGCGATTGGCTGGTGGGTCGGGTTCCGTGTTACCCCCGCGCGCATCGGCGAGAGCGAGAGCGAGAGACAAGGCATTTCTGTGAGTGGGTTGTTCACGTTGCACTACCGTGATTGACACCAAAAACGCCCCGGCGGAATTGTGCGTTCTACGAAGTGGGTTCTTGGGAGACGAACCAAGGGGGTTGACGCAGGAAAATGAAATATACTGGTTCTTGCTGCTGCGCACCATGCACCACGTGCAGAACGTAGAGCAGCTTTGCCTACACTTGATGGTAGGCACGTGATGTTGAAGAGTAAACAGATAAAGAGCGAAAAGAGATACCTCCCCTCCTTCCTTCAGCAAAAGGTGTCCATTTCACCCCCACGATCCAACAAGGTGGGTGCTTGTAATGCCGTGCGATTGTAGTGCTGGGGCAAAGAATGGGTACTACGGATTCTCGGTACTCACGATTGTTGAGGCGGTGGTGCCGGTCTATCCGGCATGTTGCACACGCTGTGATTGACTACATATGTCGCCGTGTGTTCGAACAATGCGGTGTTCGGCATGTGGTGCCCCACCCTCGAACGGTTTTGTCAAACTGTACATATGCTGTTGTCTTTCTTTCCAAAGTTCCTCAATAAAATTAGCTTGCAAAAAACTTCCTTGTTGTTGTAGATCTTCCTCTAACTTTCGTCGAATCACGTTATTTTTCAGCCGGTAGACATACTGACTATGCATGGCAGTAATCAATCTCCTCGACTGGCACTACGCAGTCTGTAGTGGACGACAGTCCATAGGCTACAGTCAGACATAGATTAGTCTATGAAATATCGATTGTGGACGCGAGAAGGCATCCTACGAGGCTCCGATGCTTGGTTAGGCCAATCTACTGGTGTATGCTCGGCAGACTGCCTGAGGGCACTCACTGCCTATTCACTCCTACATACGTCGTGTAAGTAGCCTATGTAGACCATACAACACCACGCTGCTATGGAATGCGGTTCTTCCACTCAGTCTACATCACCTTGTTGCTGTATATCGGCACTACATGTACTGCTGTACGCCCTCCCACAGATAAGTAGAAGTAGATGCTACGCCACGGCGGATATTAAACGAGTCTATAGCTATGCCCTGTTGTAACAGGCCGACAGATGGACCTCCAGGGGCCGTAGCTGCAAAGGTTGGGTTATGTGTATTTTCGTCCTACAATACTGCCGTATTTATTTCAGCATTTTAGCCCTCGGTATCATGCCGCAGCAAGAAAAGTGCCGCCGCTGTACACCGAGTTCAAACACCAACGCGGCTTCGCCTACACGGGCTCTGCTTCTGCATATACGATGACCTAATTACACCTGCACTTGTACCACTGCTTCGCCGTTCGGATCGCTATTCATACCTCGACCAACGTGGCTCGTAGCCGAGAAATCCTGTGCTGGCTCCCGGTTGAGGGCCGCTTGTCATCGATCGCTGCAGCACTCCCTGGCCCATTGTTCTCCGTTTGGGACGTTCCGTCCGCGGCATGGGGATGCATCTATCTCTTAGCCTCTATGTCTAAGCCTACGTTGGTGCCTTGGGCTCATCTCCGTGGGATCCGGCTATCCTCGCCCGCCTCCCACGCTGGCTTGACGGCTAGCCTATCCAAACGCGGCGTATATGCCATCATCGACGGCCATTATGTCCGACCTTGTCGACGAAAAAACTGAAACGTCTTTTTCGCATGCGGGTGGAAACCTCGCAGGCTTTCATATGTACTGATATTCAGTCATGTCTCCAAGCGGCGCTCGAGCACACACGGCGCAGCGGCACTAGAGACACGCAGAGGGCAGCACCGCTTCGACTTAACTCGCAGGAAAGCCAACATCACCCTTGCAGCATTACGTCAGCCGGGAGCGCAGCGCGGCAGGCACGCTAGCCGAGACATTTGGGAACGTTCTGGATGCGGTGCGGAGTTTTGCCGGAGAACATTTGATAGCACAGAGGTTGCACTCTCCACGTTTCCTGGTTGCACCCCGCGAAGACAGAAAGCGCAAGCACAGCTCGCGCGGCGAGGAGCAGGCTTGGAGGTTTTCTACCCCGAATCCACAGGCGTGCCTGGGTGGTTTGACGCAGGCAGCGGCAGGTACTGCGGCTGCGCCAAGGTTGAGGAAGAGCGAGTTCAACTTTCCCAACGACACGTACTCGTTCTGCCTTGTGCAACCAAGCAGCAGCAGCAGCAGCAGCAAGAGCATGCAAGAGCAGGTCGTAGACGAGTCTCGTGGCCCTTACTTCCCCTTCAACAGGAGGGAGACCTACCCGAAGCGGTTGAAGGTGGACTTCAGGAGGCTCCCGGTGCGTGTGTGTGTGTGTCTCTCTTTGGTATTGGGTGTGCGTGACACGCAGACATCTCCCATGTCGAGATGATTACATCCCGTGTTCCCAGTTGAAGCGTTCATTTTTTGTATTTGCCGTTTATTTGCCTTGCCGACGGTGGGCACGCAGGGAAGCTAGCGACCGCTCGCAGCAATCCCGATCCCTTGCTAGTCGCCTCCTACTCTGGGACGGCTACTCCAGAGCTGCTGCTGCGGCAGCAGCACTGAACCCTGTTGCAATAATTGATGAGAAGTTTGACCCTGCCCCGGATTGTTCTGTGTGCGCCCGTCAAATCAACCATTGTGATGATCTCCGTCATGCAATCATCATCATCTTCGCGGCGACACATGGGAACAACAACACCACAGACGAGCACCTTGCTGACGTACACAGCCCACCACGACCTCCATGTTCGCCCGGACAGCACTCACGAAGAGCTCGCCATTGCAACAGCTAGGTGGGCGCATGACATCGGTGCCCCGTTTTCTGATCTGTCTGCCGCTGGCGCGCCAGACTTTTTGCTTTTGGACAAGTATTTTCTCGAAAAAATCAAATTTAAATGCATGCGAACATCAACGACCCTCCACGTTGCTGCTGTAGCCTGGTTGGCCCTCTCGCGTTAGCAAGGTTTACGTCAACTGTCCCACGACTAGCGCTGTGGTATTGCCGTCTTCTGTAGTAGTCGTCCATAACACGGTTGCTAGATACAGCTTCCTCCTCCTCCCTCCATGGTTGGCGAACTCTTCGCCCGAAAACAGCAGTGCGCATATAAAAATTTACGCGACGAAAAATTCTCGGCGAAATTTACCACCTGAAATATCTCGTCGTGCATGCATACAGCGTACATGTGTGCATATGTGTGTTGTAGCTGTCCCGCATACTTTGTACCAGGTAGGCGTTAGTCTACACGCGTTTGTTACACTTCTGACGAAGCGGCCGGGGTCACGCATGAACTTTTTAAATTATTTCGTTTATTTTTTGCTTTGTTTTTGTGCCCTGCACCGTTCTTCCTGCGCTAGACTACAGTATTTCCCTCAAATATCTCTGCTGCTGTAGCATAGTTTTTGCTCCAACTGTCTACAAGTACACATCATCCTTCCTTTGCCGCCATCGACCGTGAACTCGAGAGGCGCGAGTCTTCGCAAATATATATTTTTTCCACACCAGCTCCTTTGATCGATTGCAATGTGTGCACGAAAAAGTGTAATAAAAGATAGATGGGCTACTTATAGTCATGGTCTCTTTACATCAAAACCACACCGGCGGTGTTCACGTAGTCCCTATCCGATATCCCCTACCATTCCTCAAGCCAGAATATCCAAACCACACCCCCAACACTAGGAGAGAAAAAAAAAAGGTACCACATTGATTGAATCAAACCGCCCCGACCACAACACGCGCAGGCATTTCGCCGCGTGGCGCATCAACGAAGAGTCCATCATGCGCAGCTTCTGCCAAGGCCTGGCCTCCTCCACCATCGGCACCCCGACCCGCACCCTCGGCGACGCCGAGAACAACAAGCGAAAGCGCCTCGACTCCCTAGACCGAGATCTCAACATCGTGCCCCCGTCCCCGGAGCTGCTCGGCCTGGCCAACGCCGCTGCCGCCAGCGTTGGCCGCGGTAGCCGGAGAGACCCCCACCACAAGAGCTCCTCCAATCCGCGCAGCCCCCCGCGCAGCAGAAGTCGGGGGGGCGCCGCGAACAGCAACGGTGGCGGCGGTGCTAGAGACCGCGCTAGTGACAGACGGGGAGACGACGGGGGTCTTGGCCTCCTCGCGCAGGGCGCGGCTTCGTCTTCTTCTTTGTTCACCCACAGGCCTGTTGTCTTCGACACCGCCGAGCAGGTGGGGAGAGACGAAACTCTTTTTTTGGGGGTGGGTCAAAGAACGCTGGCTGGATGTTTGCGAGTTTGATTTGTTTGGTGTGGATGTCGTTGCACTGGTGCCTATGTTCGCCATGCCTTTGTGGCTGGCATGTGCGCATCAGAATGGCTTGTGTAGGATGAGTCGCCGGGAGGGGTGCCACTGTCGTCCGCACGTTCTGGGTTGTTTTTCTTGGCTGTTGTGGTACATTTTCGTCGCTGTGACCAAGGAGACTATTTAGTCAGGCATGCGGTGGAAGGCAGTGGTGGAGACAAGGCCTTCGCGATGCAAAGATTCCAGAAGCAATAGCAGAAGCAGCAACAAGGCTATGCCTGGCAATGGCTGACACAGCTTCTGTTGTCGATATTTGTTCTCGGTGACTACACTCGTTGTCGTTGTCCGAAACACCGATGGTGATGGGCAGATACGGGATAAGAGGCGCGCGGTAGACGGCACGTATGGCTCCTTGTGTTCAGGCCGGCAAGCTGGAAGAACAATTGATTGCACCTGTGTACGCACCAGTTGGACAGATTGTGGACTGCTCCGGATGGTTCCACCGCGTTTGTCGTTGTATTGGCACGTTGATGGTGCCCCAGTATTGACCATGTCTGCGTTGTTGTCGTGCTTCGCCTCTTCTCCCTTTGTTTCTGCTGGTTGTTTCTGTCTCTCGCTCTGCCTCCCTGCTTCTCTCTCTCTGCCTGCTCTCCTTCTCTCGCTCTGCCTCCCTGCTTCTCTGTCTGTCTGTCTGTCTGTCTGTCTGTCTGTCTGTGTTTCTCTCTCTCTCTACCCCTTCCCGCCCCTCTCTCTCTCTCCCTCTCATTGCTGCAGGTTGCTGCCTACGTCTCGGGAGCGTGGATCCTTGCTCGCGTCGTTCAGCACAAGGGATACGGCAAGGTAACGACAGAGATGTACACGAACACCCATTTCGAACGTGTCAGCTGACAGGAGCCGTGTCATTCCACCCACGATAACGACCACAACAGCAACAACATACTCACCTTGAACGTAACGCAACCACTGCCAGCAGCGCCAAGAACAAACGCAGCAGCATCAGTACTCACTCAGAGCATGTGTTTTGCCGATATCCATACCGGCCGCAAACGTATTGCGCAGTGTCGGAGAGACGTTGTGCTTGCTTTGTGCTCACACAAACCTAGCACGAAGAGACGGTCGTTGCATCCCTTATCGAAATTTCATGGCAGTGGTTCGGCATGGCGAACGTTTCTTGCTAGTCCCTACCATGCTCGACGCTTGTCGCTACGCATGCCCTTGTGACCAACGTACGCACACGTTTTTTTCTGTCCCATGGAATGCACGCGTGCTCGTACCAGTCGTTTCCACGCATTATGGATGTGGTGCGTTGTCCTCTTGTTGGCGTGATGCGAGTCGAATGATATTTGATTGTCGGAAGTAGAAAATATGCGAGTATTGCTCAACAAGGTGTCGGGATACTTTGAATTTCGCATCCTGCTGTGGTTTAGCTCTTTCGGTTCTCATGTTGCAAGACTCGCGCGCGAATTTATTACTAGAGATACTCTCGAACTACAACATCTCGAATTAATTGAGAATATGCGCCTCGGGCGAAATACGGACGATGAAAGCAGGTGGAGCTCCACGACGAAGACGACGCTTCCCACGTCTTCGAACTCCCTATCAGCCAAGTCAGGCACCTGGAAGACTTGTCTTCGGACCTGGGCAAGGTGAGAGAGATGTAAAGAGAAAGGGAGAGGACAAGTAATAATTCTATAAACAGGGGGAATTACGGAGTAACAGCGCTGCTGCTTGAGATGAGGCGGGTTTCGACCAAGCGTGTGTCAGAGAGCGGCATGCTTGTTGACTGTGCTTGCTGCTGCGCCGATCAGAGGGTGGAAAGCAGACATGTTGCACCTGCATGCAAGAGCGACAAGCGGGTACTTTTGCGTTATGGTTTAGGCTTGGGAGTCCGAGGTGCTGGGTGGAAGAGGGTATTGTTCTATTACTATTGCTTGTAATGAGAACAGTCGAGGCTGCGCAGGAAGGTTCGAAGGTGTGTGCGTGAGAGAGAGAGAGGGCCACGGATGGGCGGTGAGGGGGGCTTCGATTTTTGTTTTTGTCTTCACGGCCAACCTCAAATGGTGTCTGGTTTGACAGGTACAGTATTGCTGTCAAGGCCGACGTACAGTACATCCCATTGTCGATGTTGGTACGGAAATGAAGGTGACATGTCTAGAGTTGCCGCAGAGTGTACTAGGGTATACCCCAAAATTTGGTTGATGTGGGTGATGCTGATTTTTCCCTCCCAACTCGCATCCTTCCTTATGGTTTCGCAACCGGTCGGTCCCACGGCGTTCTTCTCGTCGCGTGTCGTTCGCATCGTCACTTTCATCTCTTCGCCACCACCTGGCGTTGAGGGCCGAGAACCCTTTCTGGTGATCGTTCTCGCTGTGCTCCCCCACCCCCCTGTTCGATCTCGTTTGGGTTCTCCTCGCTGCTTATCGGTTCATGGCGTTCAGGCCGAACCCTTCCTGATTCTCGTTCCCAGGTTGCCCTCCGTGTCGTTTTGATTCTCCTCTATGCTTATCGGTTAATGGCGGTCAGGCCGAACCCTTCCTGATTCTCGTTCCCACCTTGCCCTCCCTGCCGTTCTCGTCGTCCTCCCTGATTACATCGGTTACACTCAGCATGACAAGGTCTTGGCGGTGTTTCCCGACACGACCATCTTCTACTGCGCGACGGTCGCCAAGGACTCGCCTCGCATGGATGGCAACACCAAGGTGGGCGTGCAATTTTTGTCAATCCCAGCAGGGCGGGTGGGGCTGGGCGGGACGTTGCGTTGTTTCGTACGCGGTCGTCCAAGGTTCCGCCCACGAGGTCCCTCGCTGAAACCGATATCAACTTCTGCATACAAGTGTACGTCCTTTGTGCACCTTCAACGACTGCCCTCTCGATCTAGCGCTCCTTCAACGTTTGGCATGCATGCGGGTGTTGTTTGACGAATGCGTGTACGGTTGAACGCGTTACGCCTGTGACCACAAGTGCGATACAATTTCGTGAAGAGAGTGACATAGGCGGTTCTGGACACCACAGAGGTGGAAATGTGTGTGCGTGTGTGTTTTGTGGAGAGATCGCATTGTGATGCGTGCTACCGCAAAAGGGCACCGTGTGTCGTTTGGAAGGAGAGGCGTTACCTACCCCGGGTGATGCAGCCTCGACTCGCCCGCCTCGCGACTGAAGACTGTTCGCCAAGCATTCCTATATGATCCTGAATGGTCCGATCGCCCCCGTTGGTGTGTCAAGATTCTGTCCTCTTGGAAGGGATCGAAGTGACCACAGCAGCGGGCGGAGAAAAGACGGCCGTTCTAAAGAAGCGTACATTCGCCATTGGTTGTCCCTCGTGACACGACGATGAGACTTGAAGGGCTCACTGAGCCTCCCTCTCTTGGTGCGCACGGATTAAAAATGGAAGTTATCCCGAAACTAGATCAACAACCACATCGGGAGGGGGGAGAATACTCATAGCCGTGCATGCCGTAGTCGTAAGACCGTTGATTTCGCACCCCTGCAAAGCCGGGACGGAGCACGCCGGGTTCTCATCGGACCAGGCTCTCACATCACCAAGCGCGAAGCACCGTAAGGTATTCGGGGTGTCGCATGGAGGGTACGCTGCATCCTGCTGAGGGCGTTCGATATCTTGTGCTTGGTTCCTTGCATAGGGATGACAGCTGCCAATGACTTGATTTCATTTCTGGCGCTTTCACCAGAGATATTTAGAAGCACGGTGTGTAACTGCCTCGAGGGTGCTTTACAAATTGACACAACGCGGTGCGATCGTCCCTCTGCGCGGAGTGAGGGTTCTCGACCCCGCAAAGCATGATCTCCTCGACCACCACCAAGGTGAACGCAATAAGAAATCGAACGCATAAGAAAAGCGGTAACCTGGTTGTCGAGCTCGCAAAGCTACCGGCGTATTTTACAAGGTCGCTGCCAAGCGACGAAACCCCGATCCCGATATGGGTGTCAGCGTTTATTTTGTGTGTTTACTACAACATGCATACAGCTTATTTCTGTGCGAATGTTTGTTGAATGTCCAAAGGTGTTGGTGGTCTACTTCGAGGACGACGAAGACGCTAACGGGGGGCATCAATACCGCCGCATTCCCGTGGAGCACGTTATGATCGAAGACGACGGAGGGCACGCGAACCGCCACGGCTACGCGGCTGGGGCCGGGGTGGGTGGGCGCAGCAATGGTGGCGGCACTGGCCGGAGCGAAAGGGTGAGATACTACAATGGCACTATCTGTGGTTGAGAATGGCATTTCTTGTGTCCTCGCACTAGCAAACGAATCGAGACAATGTAGTCCTCACAAGAAGGGACGAAATCAGAAATCAGACGCTTGAGGTGCGGAGGCAAAGAGGACCTTCATCCGGACCACCGAAGGACACAACAGAGGAGTCTGTGCACGACACCACAATGATCTTCTTCCAGCCCCTCCTCTTCGTTTCGCCATCACTGAAACATCACCCGCCCTTCGTCCATAGCCAGATAATATGGTCGCCCACTGTCGGAGACGATGTTGTGGTCGGATTAATGTTGGGGTCGTGGAGACGGGAGACCGTGCATCATTTCCGTGTGACTCACCGCAGCCTAACACCCAGCGCGCATGACATTTGAGTGTAGCGCAAGATAAACGGCGAAGAAGAAGCTGCCCCGCATGCGGTCGTCGGGTCAGGCTCGAGCCGTTCGCGTGGTGCAGTCCCAGCAGATTGTCGTCTCTCATCAAGGAAATATCTCGATTGCCTGACTCGTTTCTCAGAGCGCAAGGTCTAGCGTTTCCGGTCGGGCTACCGGCTCCTATCGGTCACGCTCCACGTCTCCCAGGGTCAGAAACGAGTACGGGGGTGAGTTTGCTGCTCGCCGCCATTGACATGTGTAGGTGTCGACTCTTGATTGCCATTGTAGCCGCCGCCGCCGCCGCCGCTGGTGTTCGTGCTTGTGCTACTATTTGGTTGTTTATTGTAGTCGTTGTTGCTGCTGCGGTTGTTGTCGTGGTCGTCGTCGTCGTCGTCGTCGTCGGTGATGGTGATGGGATGGTGTTGTTGGCCACCTGACGGCAACTGGTGACCTGGGACCCGCAGTCCGTTTCCTGCTACCCATCGTCACGTATGTGGGGCCCAGCAGATGTTTTTTTGCGATACGTTGGCCCTTCCAACGGATCGGGACACGAGAGTGCGCAAACAGCACCAAAAGGACCGAGCGCTGCAACCATCCACGTTTGTGCGCAGGCCACAGCAGCGTGTTTCGATGCGCTAGGCGTACGCGTTCAGCAGCCACACAATACCGCACTCTCCCGCGGTTTGATTTCTAGAATCCATCTGCTGACGTGTGGTGATGATTCGAACGTATACAGGGGGTTCCGCGGCGGGGAGCCACCTCATGGGGGGAGCCGCATCGTTAGCCTCGAGGGCATCGGGCGGCAGCAGCGCCGTCGGAGGGGGCGGAGGAAGGGCGAGCAACGGCAACAGGGACCAGCAGGTGGGCGGGAAAGGCACATGCTTCCTTAGACCATGTCGGAAGCAAAAGAAATCATGTCCAGTTCTGCGGTACAGATAGCACCCGCGGTTTTCAAAGTTGGCAGTGAAAAAAGCTCCAGGCTCAATATTATATCAAACATTAGGCCTTGAGCGCCATGTGTGAGCCCGGTGTGAAGGTCCCCTTACACTTGTACCTATCTATGGGCCATTTATGGCCCACAAGAGGAGCTACTGCAAGAACCCCATACTCGACCAAACATATATAATAGAGATTTTTTGGTGCGGGTACTATGCCTTTGTGTTGTAGTGTTTCTTTAGAGAGCTGTAGACCTACGTAGCACGATGCGCGCCCACTGAGGGCACCCGATATCGGTGGCAAGCGCGTAGCAAAGATATAAAAGTTCGTTGTCTAGGGTTTGTTCAGGCTGGAAAGCACCTACGGTTACATCTACGCACACAGGGCAAACACTGTGCACACACGCCGCCCCATCGCCAGCTGCCAGCGCTTGTGACGCGTGCCGTATCGTCTTGTGCTTGTCTTCCCTCGTTTTTGGGTTTGCAGGGGGGCAGCAAGAAGGGCGGGGCCACCTACGCAGACATGATCGCCCACGCGCTAGGCAAGGTGGAGAACGGAAAGGGCGCCTTCACCCAGATCTGCAATATCATCGAGCGGCAGTTCTCCGAGTATCTAAACTGGAAGCTCGAGAGGTACGTATGCGATATGACGCCATTAACGGCCATGAATATGGAATTCTGCAACATGGAGTGCCGCAGGCTTCCAACAAGAATGACCTGAACCACCAAAATATGGTTTTGTTCTAGATGTATGTGTTGCGCCTGGTTTGTGTGCGTTTTCGCTGCCACTGGATGTGTTCCGTTTTGCGCATACTGACCTGTTGTTTCGGTTCACTGTTTTTGCCGTTTTCGTGTCGTGTCGACTTTTGGTTCGTGGTTGCGGTTCGCCTTCTACCCGAGCACAGCGACGTCCGCAAGACCCCGGTGTGGAAGTCATCCGTCCGGAAGATCCTCTTCTCCAACAGCAGGTGTGTCGCGTTTTCATTTACCTTTTTCTTTGCCCCGCAGTACCTTGCGTGCCTTTTTCTAGCTTTTGTTAAACCTATGGTGTAATATTTTGCACCAATGGAGGCGCCATCCTGATGGAATGTACCTGTCACGGTGGACTGAATACACATTACTTCGGTATATTTCTCCTTCGTTCGCGTTGCGGCGGCTGTCATCCCTTCGTGCAGGGACTTTGAGTGCACGGCTAGCTGAAGGTTCTGTTTTCTTGTCATGGCTTGAAGTACTTGCCCCAACGTGCCCAAGTATCGAGTTGGGTCCCCGTGCTGATATCTCGGTAGAAGTCCCACAGGTTCATTGATGTGGTCTCTTTCTCGTTTTTCTCTGCGCTGGTACGGTGCGGCTGCTACTTTAGAAAGTTCGCCGAGATTCCCGAAGATTGGGATTGTTCTCGTCCACCCCGTTTTCACAACACCCCTCCCGTTGTCACATCATCCTTGCACGCATGTCGCCCCCGCACGTCATCCATTTTTCCACGGTCGGCTCGCCTCGTTTCTTTCTTTCTCTCTCTCTCTCTCTCTCTCTCTCTCTCTCTCTCTCTCTCTCTCTCTCTCTCTCTCTCTCTCTCTGCGTATGTCTGTCTGTACGCCTGTCACTTTCTTGCTCGCTCTCTCTCTAAATTCTCTTGCAATGTTCGCCCCTCTCCTTTCTCTCTCTCTCTGTATCTGATGATGCGCACGGCCGCCCCACATCACATCGTTACCGTTGGCGCCAACACCACGGACGTTTGATACGCCCCAATTCCTCTCGCCTAACGTTGCCACACAACGCACCCCACCATTAAAAAAACGTGTGTTTCAGGTTCCAGCACCATTCCACGACCCCGGAACTGGGGCATGTGTTCACCATGGCCCGCTCCAAGAAAAACAACTGAGGTTCGCGGAACGTCCCGTGCGAAAGCCGTTTCCACGCACGGCGTATGTACCAGTGGAACGGAAATTCGGTTACGGCATTCTCATTTCATTTTTTTTACGCTACACATGTTACTGGAGAGTCAAGGTCGCGTCTGCACGGAACCTAGGGTTGAAGACTCAGACCACGGAAAGAAGCCAGTTCAGGAGAGCGAAAAGCTCGGGACTGTGATCCAACAACAGAGGTGGGGAACGGCAAATCATATTTCTTGGGCCGGTAGGATGGTGTACATCTTCTCGCTATCTTTTAACCCCCAGTCTCTCTGCCGAAGACCTGTGTCCGTACTGATTAGGGAGGGGGGCTAGAGGGGAGTCCTAGGCGCTGTCGGTGGGCTAGAGCTGAGGTTGGAGCCGAGGGGGGATGCCGGTGCTGAAGCGGACACCGGTGATGCTTGGGACAGTCTACAGGGCTCTCGCTAGACCCTGAATAACTATTAGCACGCACACCCAGGGGTTGTCCCTTGAGTATATCCCTTTTCGGAGGCGGAGGGGGGGGGGGGGCAGGGTGTTTTCCTTCCCGGTGTGAAGCTGGGGTCTCGTCGTGGCCCAGGCGGGGCAGCTCGAGGGGGTATGTAGATAATTCGGGGGGCTGGAAAGTGGGCGGGGAGAACCAACCCTTTTCCCATCCACGAGGGGGAAGGATGTACGAGAGATGGGAATGATAAAGATTAGAACAACCTTTTCTTGGTGTGAATGCGTCCCTTGCCGGCGGCGAAGGTGCTTCGGTGTTTGTCCGCCAATGCCGGATCTCGACGCTCGACCCCAACACGCACGCAAGAAGGGCGATAGGGGCCGTTCTAAATAGTGGACGCTTTGCTGCTGGCTGCGTGGGAAGTTTCCGTTTGTTGCGTTGCAGTTATGTTTTTTTTTTCTCTTGCTGGATATTTGTTGACCTTATTTTCTAGGAGGGGGTGTATACCGGCAAACGATCAACATTGACTGCCATGTACAAGTACACTTTTGCGCGTGGCAGAGAAAAAATTCTGACGAGGCTTTCGGGTTGTTAATGCAGTACGTTATAGGCGTAACGACGGTTTGGATGGGTGTACAATAGACATGTGCATATACCAGTGAGCGGAAAAGATCGAACATTTCCCCTCCCGCTATCCCTAGAGTTTCCTGTCGTTGTGAGAAAGATTCTACAAAGTTTGGTCGGGGGAGCGGGCAATCCCGCGTCTCTGGATCCAGGCAAGGTTTTTTGGTATGTTGCCGTTTACGCTAAAGCTTTTCCCGGTGTATGTGTCCATTGTGGCCCTCAAGTGAAAAACCACCCCCCCGCGCTGAAATTATTCTCCAGTATGCGATGCCGTGTGTAAGTAAATAAACTGCAGGGGAGACACAGCCCCTCCTCACTGTTGAGTCGATCTACTCTTGAGGTGGAAGTTACTGTACCTTGTCTGCGCGATGAGCCTTAGAGAACAAGCATCTAGTCTCCAAACTACGCGTGTCGGCAATCATTAAGCGGCGTTAGGTGCGCGTTAAGCGGCGTAAGTGTAGCAAAGTAGATGATACGGGGGGTACGCGAGTAGCATTTCTCGTGGCGTTCCTTTCTGTGCATGCCGACAGCAGGTCGAGCATGCGTCGTCGGGACTACGGCAGTACGCAACGCAAACTAACGCACGTCGTTTTGTGAATCCTGGTTATGATTGCTTGTCGAGTCTGACCAGTAGCCGCAGTATCTGCCGCAAGCTATTTTGGATAGGAGACTCCCGTCCTCGTTGCTTTAGTGACGTTTGCACTTCTTACGGAAAACGGGCTTCACAGGACTTTCTAGATTTTGGTTGTTTTTAATTTTTGGGGCTTTTGGGGTTCGTGTGTTGTTTGTTTGTCGGTGAGGTTCGACCAAAACAAGCTACCACTCCTGAACGGAGTGGCGAAGCGAATTGGGCTTCAAGAAGTCATTGCGAATCGATGGGAAGCGGTGGTAGTCTAACTAGCGATCGAAAAGGCGGAGTAAGGGGCAGGGGGGAGTAGCTGATAAATGGGGATGTCTTCGAGAGGCCGAACCAGCTACAGCGGTTGGCATGTATGCCTTGGTATGTCCCCACCCACCTCTCGAAGCTGCCCCTTGAGACATTATGATAGTGATTCTTGTTTCGTTTTGCCTTGCCCCCTCCCAGACCGAACGGCTGTGACTTGATAGGTGGGCGGCATGAGTAGACGACAGTGTACGCGACTACAGCTTGACGCTGCTCGCTTCGTATGTGTGCTGTCATTTGTCCCTTTTGTGCTTGGAGCGTGTGTTTGTTAGTTGCGTGCGAAATCACCGGCGCGCGTTGCGGTTTTTACTCTGCTGATAGTGAAGTGAAAACACCTAATTGTTCTTGCAGGGGCGAGGTTTGTCGGAGTAACGGGCATGCCCACTTGATGCTTCTTGGATCCTTACGTATGGGTAACCATGTGCTTCCCACGACGTTAATTTATGCGTTGAAGTGTTCCCTGTGTGCATGCGTGTATCGTTTGGTTGTACTAGGAATAAGATTGGATTGAGCTTGTGGGGCGTGATGTTTGGGGTCGGAAAATTGAAGGAAAAAAGCGAGGGATGGGGAAGGGATGCAGTGGAAGAGGGTGCTGCATAATGGGACTGGGGAGTGGCTGTGCTTGGGTATGAAATCGATTCTCACGTACAAATAGTACACCTAAGAAACATGAAGTATTTTAGTAGCTTAGGTCGTTTTTTCTGTGACGGTTCTTGGGCTGTAGGTCTTTATCGCTAGACCCGCACCCGCTGTGTCACCGAGCAGAACAGAGGGAGAGCCCCAAACCTTTTATTACCCTGGGAGTGGATGTAAGGTTCCCGTACGCAACGATTGTGCTTTCAAGACCGAGTTTCGGGGAGGAGATATTGTGAGGCCTACGCGTGTGAGGCAGACGGGAAAGGGGGGGGTATACCCCCTGACGTGCGTCACCGTCACGACTGAGTGTTACTTGTTTCCGATGTCAGGGCTTGCTTTGGGTCTTTTTCGTCGGGAGGAGGCGGCCAGGCATTCGTATGTTACGCGTGAAAGTGTGCACGGGGATTGGTCTAAACGTTGGACGACGGCGTTTTGGGGCAGACAGAACACCCCCCTGGGTGGGATTCCCTACCGTGGTGTTGGAACCCTTGCGCGTGGCCACCATGCTTGCGTGTACATATATTTATCCGATGCGGGCGAAATCTACATGTTCCCCCGGAGATAAGTTTTTCCCACCTAGTGAGACGTGCGCTTTCTAAAGTCGAAGAAGATTCACATCGAAAGAGGGGGTGACGTACCGGAGGGATAGACGCGTGTTGTGGGGGCAGGGGTTGGGGGTGGGGAGTAGGCGTTGTGGGCAGTGTCCCATCGCCAGTTGAGCACGTTCTCTCTTTCTAGACCGTGCCTGTGCAAGCACTGTCCTGCATGTCGCGTAGCACAAATGCCGTGAAGTGTCGTTGTGTGCAACAAAAGCTTTTAAACACCCGTTTTTCATGATCGAGGTCGACATTTTCCATGCATCGTCGCGACGTACGCATTTATCAAAGCGCGGTCAAAATGATGACTAGATTTGATGCCGCCACGCGTACCCATCCTTTCGGTAGAGGAAACGGGAATCAGCGTTCTCGGCTAAGTTGGAGGTCCGCGAAGTGTAGCCATAATCCGTGTACGTAGGGTAGTGCTGTGTAGACGTCTGCATCTTTGCACGTGCTTCCCTTTGTACATCGACATCCCGTGTTCACCTGTCAGTGAGGGAATGGAATTCGTCAATGTCCGTTTGGACCCTGACAAATGTACCAGATATCGGGTGGAGGCCGGGAGGTTTGACGAACGATGGAACAGAAATGAAGATGAATATGACGTGAACCTTTTAAGGTTGTGCAGTCGGAGTGTTTGTGTATGTTTGCGTTTCATCCTTTCTGGCGCGAACCTATACCTACCTGCACCTTCCCGGTTATTCGGCTTGTCAGTCGGGGTCGTGCATGAGGAAAGGGCCACACGAACTTTTGTTTTCTTGGACTGATATGTGTCCGAAGTTAGACCCATGCTGTGCTTGCATTCGAACATAAAATGACAAGAGCCAACAGTCCTCTTCTTGTGGTATATTCACGAAACTGGTTCCGATGCAAATCTTCCGAGAGAGATTTGAACCACAATCTGGTAGTAGCTCCGCGAGGCTACCACAGACCCCGAGACCACTCTGCTACGAGGATGACGTGGTAATTTAGGAATATAATGGACAGCGCCAATCGCACGGGAGAACTTGTAGGAAGATGAAATCAATTAGATTAAATTAGACCATCTGACCAGTCAACGTTGACTGGTCTAAAGGTGAAACTTTATCTAAATAATAGATATGCGCTCAGCTCATTGGCACCCGGCTGGATCACTTGGGTTTTACGGCTTTTAAGTCACTGGGATTGAAAGTAGGGGTCTCCGGGGACGGACCCCGCGCCAGACGCTGCCGGAAAGAGACATAATGGTGCTTGGGAAAGTGACCAGCCGGGATTCGAACCCGTGCGTGTATCCTTAAACGCCAAATGTGCAAAGGCTTGAGGCTAACTCTGTAGGGACCCCGGAGATCCCTACTCTCAATCCCAGTGATTAAAAGCCGTAAAACCCAAGTGATCCAGCCGGGTGTCAATGAGCTGAGCGCATATCTTTTATTAGATAAAATTAGACCATCTGACAAGTCAACGTTGACAGGTCTACAGGTGTAACTCTAAAAAAATCGCCTTCATTGTCTGCACGACAGAGTCAGAGGTCGAACTAAGACACAGAGGGCTTACCACGGGAATACCAGAATTTACACCAGCATGTGTCGGGCAGAGGATTGTGACGGCTTGAACGGCTCATGCATGCGTGATACATACATGAGACGAAATTATTGATTGCTCGGTGTATTCATATCCTGGATCGGCGTGTGATCGACAAATTTGGCCCACTGCTCCTCACACCATTTCACACGTGCAGCTGTGAGGCTGGAAACCTCTTGTTCCGGGAGTTCCTCTACATTGAAGGCTGCAGCGTAGGCACGGGTGAAAGGGTAACTCAGGAACAACCCGACTGATCGCGCACAACAAGACTGCGCTTCCTGCGTTCATTGTCCCGTCGGCCGGTACTCCGAGGCATTGCAACAGCCTTTCGTCTACGATGTCGGCAACTATCATTCACTCTGTGGCACGAAGATCCACAGGGTAATCAGGCATGCATTCCACCTTGCCCAGACTGTCCGCGCGGGAAACGGCCATCTCATATCCTCGCAGCAGCACGAAACCAAGCAAATATGTATTCTTCAGGCGGAGCACACGCACCGTTCACCACTAGCTAGCCATCAGACTCATTTTCATATTTCACGGGGAACTACGACGGAGGCAGACGTGTGTTCCCTGTGCGACAAACAACCATTCCCGCCAGGAACCACAACAAATATGGAGGGGAGGGGGGTTCTTCGGTCCTTCTATTGCAAACGCTTTGCCGCTATGGTTGTTGCAAAGATCACGCAGCAGAAAGGTCTCCCCTTTGGATCTAGGAAGATGTCCATCCGGAGAAAAGACAAAACCCATTTGCGTCCTGCGGTGAAAAACAGGAACAGGTCTCCTGGCTATATACTGTCGTGAGACGTCTGACTCGAAACAGACGTTCTTCAATGGCTAATCAATGAAATGCCTCCAGGCCGACAATAGTAGACCGCCTTGCGCCATCGATTCGAGCCAATTCGCACCACAAGGTTGACCACGCGACAATAAAACAGCATTTTGTGGCGCCGAGGTCTGGGTAACAAGGCAAGAGGGCGTCGCCACGGCGCGTGTTTGTAGCGGGATACGAATCACCACCCAGTATGCTGCATGCGTAAGACACCGACAAACAACCGTCAAAGCTGGCAATAATGGCAATCTCGTCTGAAAACCAACAGCCAAAATCCACGGACCCAAAGTAATATGTACATCATCGGTAGGGCATCATGTCCAAACAAACACAGACGCGAAGAAGTTCAATGTCCGCGAAACGACAGGCCAACCCGTCAATGAAACAAAGGCAATAAGCAAACGGATCAGAATGTTTTTTATGTGTGGATGTCTATAGAAGTGGGCATTCAACAACTCTACAATCTGAGGGAAAATCAGTCTACAACATAAAGCGAGCGCAGCAGGATACGATCAGTCGGTGTCCGTGATACCCCCGTTGGTAATCTTGAAAGGGCATTCTGCCTCCGGCATGCTCGGGCTGTCGAACAGCTTCGCAACCCGTTCTTCACCCTGGCGACGGGATTTCGACGTCAAGCCGGCAGCACGACGGAGGCGAGGGAAGCTTCAACGAAACATTTCGTTTTTACCTAAGAAACGATAGCCCGGTGCACAACGTGAATCAAGCTGGGCAGCACCACGCCCGCGGGTGGGTCACTGATCATAGAATCAAGGCGGATTTCGTTGGTTGTCGGCATAGGTCGGAAAAGAGACGAAACCGGCATTTCCCACCACCAACCATCATGGGGTTCGAAGGCAACTTCAGCTGTGTTGACAGTCAGGGTATGCATTCGTCTTTGCTTCTTGGGTGGGCGGCGGGTCAGACGAATAGCTTTGCAATCCTCATGATGTTGACCTACATAGAGGAGCGGGAAGATTGGTACTTGTTTCAGAAAAACGCTGTACTAAGATACCAACAACACCAGCAGCTCGCACAGAATTAAACAAGGCTGAGATGAACACCTCACATACCACCACGTCATCACATCACCAACACGAACCATGTTCTTGCAGCCACCTAACCCACCACCACCACCACAAACCTCCCGAAAAAACAACGCCAAGTCAACAACAACCAAAGTGCCGAACGACGAACAAGATGGGTTCGGTTGGACAACAACCCAACCTTGCGATGCAGCTAATTAGGAATGCCCGGCTTACCCTGCCCTTCTTGAGGTGCACCCTCGTCGTGCTCGCGTGGGCTAGGACGTGCCCCCCTACTGGCTTGACAGTGGCGAACATGGCCATCGCCCCAGGGTCTGACATGCACTGGTTCACCAGAACAACCGCCACGTTCAGGTCCTTCCAATCGATACATCCAAGACGTAGACATCAATGGTGCGCGAGGGGTGGGGGGGGGTATGTTGGGGTGAGCGAGCATTCTTGTGTCGAAGATGGGCTTGTTCGAGCCTTCATCGATGACGAGAACCAGAACATCCCGAACACAAGCCAGGAGCAGGGCGCACGGCCGCTTCACAAGGGTCACGAATTGTTGAACTTCTTCAACGGCATGGGACCACAACCATCACGAAACTTCAATATAAGGTCCAGGCTCAATTCCTTGTTTGTCACCACCGTTGCCATTGCGAGTTTGGTTGTAAGGTTCACCGCTGAGCTATGTCAACCCTATTCTCATCGCCTTCGTGGGGTTCTCAGCCCCATCTCTCAAGGGAACGTGCGCCGTTTCAGTACTGTGCACAAGGTCCCCGGCGTTCAGTGGCGAAAGCATGGCGTCTATCACGACCGCCCGATGACAAACGATTGATGGAAAAAAGTGCCATACAGCGTTCGCTCATACTTTGTAGCGCCATGCCTCACCGACGCCATCTGGAGCAAGCTCGACAGGTGCCGGCCGAGCTTCTGCTGCCGCACGGACAAGTCGCCGCGTCCGCTAAAGTCCACCCGGAAGAGGGCGATGACGGAGTCCACGATGATCACTCGGATGGGACCCTCAGTGAGGCACAGCGCCGCGATGCTCTGAAAAGTACGTTTTTCAGGGGGGAGGGGGAGGCAAGACATCTTCCTTCGGGTTGCTGGGTGACGAGGGGGGTGTGGAGTCCACGTATTGCATTGCGGACAGTGTTCATGTTTAAGGAAGGCAATAACAAGCGATCGCCCCGACCGAACGTTGGGTTAGAGCGGTACTGCGTAGTGTGGTGGGAAACGACGGCGGGGGAGGGGGGGGGGGGGGGGGGGGGGTACCCCTAATCCGGGCTGCCCGAATCCTTTAAACCCTGGCCCCCCCTCCCCTCAAAACCGGGAAGGAACCCCCCCGGTTTTTCCCGGAACAGGGTTTCCCATTCCCAAAGGCGAAACGCCCGGGGGTATTTCGCGAATCCCATGAAGGGGGCCCCGCCTCCCGCTAAGGGGGTTCCGGATCCTGTGCTTTTTTTTTTTTTTTAGGAAGAAACCCGCGGATGAATTAATTTTTTTTTTGGGGGTTTCCCCTCCCAAAAAAGTTTTAAACCCTTTGTAACTTCCCCCAGGGTGCTTTA